TGAGTGGTAAATCTACTATATATAATGCCTAGCAGTGGAGATGTGAGTGAACCAAGTAGACATGCTGCATACATATGCAATACATTCATCTTACACATATTATTTGTATGCATGTAAACATTTTCCCTTTGTGTTCTTTATTTTTATGAAGTAGTGGTATTTAATCAAGAAAAAATATTTGACAAGGAAAGCAAGCAAATAAAATTAGATGAAACATGCCTAGGAAAATAGTCTTAAATTTTAGAGCATGTACCAGGGCATTCAAATCTCCTACCTCCTTCCTCTACACCCTTCTCAAAGAACCCTGAGCCTTTCCTATGTGGGATAAGAAAGTCTGTAACTTTGTGTACTGGCATTACACAGTGTCATAGTGTGAACCCATGATAAGTGGGTCATCTTAGAGATAGCTACTTGCTTCTTTTTCTTTTCCCTCTACTTCAATTTTTATTGGATAAAGCCCAAAGAATCAAAGAGGAAACAGAGAGCACAGGGTTTCCACTTAGGCTATGTCCAATATATATTTTATTTTACTTCTCTATATTCCTTCCCACCAATCAGCCAGGCAAGGTGGCTCATGCCTGTAATTCTAGCAGAGATTGGGAAGATAACAGTTTGAGGCCAGCAGGGGTGTGTGTGGGGGATAGGATTGTGAGACCCCCCCCCATCTTAACCAATAAAAGATGGGCATGGTGGTCATCCCAGCTATGCAGAAAGCGTAAATAGGAGGATTGTAATGCCAGCTGGCCTGGGCATAAATGCAAGACCCTATTAGAAAAATATGTAGCGCAAAAGGGTTGGGGGACTGGCTCAAGTAGTAGAGTAAATATGATATTTTACTCATTCACAAAACTATTCTTACTATATATACAAGATAGCACTTATCTTGTAATGATTTAATTATGATTTACATCAAATATTCTTAGTGTGTAATGTCTTCCTCCCAGCCTTCCCCTAACATTTAGATCAAATAAACTGAAGCTTAGCATTATCTTTTTTCTTTTTAATTGCTTTTAAAAATTTATCAAAGGCAGCAAAATGGTCAGTTCATTAATATTACTTGAATGTTGTACCAAGTAGACTTTATATATTTTTTATTATACTCTCATTAAGATTAAAATTTGTCTTATTAGTGGTTTTCTTTAAAAAGTTGATCTAACTTGGAAGATGTTCCAACTAAAGCCCTTATTTTTATACTTCTGAAAAGAGTAAAAATACACACATAGGGAAAATGTTCATCTTTTTATATGGCTTCTACATAACTAAGAGTTATACAAAAAAAAAATCCCACTGTGAATTGAAAGGCTATACCTAAAAATGACATCATGAACCACATGGGTAGAACTACACAGGATATAGTGCTGCCTTTGTCTTTTGGCTCACCAGTCCATATCTAATTGTTGAATAATGTGCTGGAGGGGACAGTAGTGTCTTTCACTGAAGCACTGTGCAAAAAGTTCCAAGCAGGCAGTGTGCTGTTTCCAGTCAAGCATACAGAGAGTACATGCTGTGAGCATCTGTAACATGTTGGTAGGAGCAAAGTAGAAGCCAGCTCAACCAGAAACTTCCACTAGTATCCAGAATGGCTAATATGAGCTATAGGTGTTTAAGTTTCAGCTCTCCTATGAACAAAATTTTATATATAGTAAACAAAAAAGGTAGGCTGCTCTTTAAGACTTTGCATTTCACATAGTCTTCTGTAAAAAGGACCTTTGCTGTATCTGAGTTGTTAATGGTCAAATATGATTATCATTTTGTTAGTTATGCAGTAACTCTTTTTCTGTATGTGTGGAACTGGGATTTGAACTCCTGCTTGCAGGCACTCTACTGCATGAGTCATGCATTCAGTCATTTTTCTTTGGTTATTTTAGAGAAGAGATCTCAGGAACTGTTTGCCTGGACTGGTCTCAAATCACAATCCTCTGGATCTCAGCCTCCCACGTAGCTAGGATTATAGGTATGAGCCACCAGGGCCCAGCATGCAGTAACTCTTATATGTAATCACTTATAACATTCTCTTCTATGTTTTAACCAAGGGCTTTGGCCTGAATTTAAAGTTCAGTGTGAAACATATATTTCTGATTATAAGACAAATACTGACCAAGGAACTTCATCTGCACTGTTTGCTTTGAATCATTACTTAGTTTTATAGGAAAGAAATTTCTAAAACATCATAACATAATGTTCATAAAAGGAATGTAAGAGAGAAAAATATCATTCCTTTGAGTTAAAGTCACCATGTATGTCAACTTTTAGCATAATTTCATAAACAAATGCTAAGTGTTACTAGAATTTCAGTTGACTTTGTTTTTCGGCCTATTTTGCATACAGAGGCTAGCAGCTCTTCTACCACATTGGCTGGATGGTCCTGCAAAGAAAGCCCGATGTCTTGCTCATCCTGAAAACCGAGTCAATTGCTTGTATTGAAAGGAGAAGAAAGTCATACTGATTTCCTTGGGTAGTAATTCACCTCAGATTATTTTAGCAAATGACTTTCAGAAAGACCTGTTATTCCAAACATTATTTGTTTCTATTCATTAGTAAAGAATCCAAACACCTATTGTTTCTCATCTTTTCTTTTTGAGATTTGGTGACCAAGTAATCTTTGTGTTGTAGACCCTTCCTATGATAACAATATATGTATCTAAATCTATGAATAATGGGATCCCAAGCCATTCGTTTGAAATTTCCTTATCAACTTTTCTGTAAGGTGGACCTCTGTATATAATCCTGGTAAGCACCGTGACTGATTCCGCTTCTCCCTCAGTGTTATTACTATGGAGAATGGGGAAACTAAATTGTCTGCAGTTCATAGACACCCCAAATAACATTACACGTATTATTTTAAAGTAACTCCCTGAGATTATACCCTATAGAACTTCTGTTTTACAGGATCATGAAAGGAATCTATATAGTAAAACAGTATTTCTTTTTCTCCCAAACAACCCCATGAACCCAAATGGTGTTTAAGAGCATAGAATCAATTTTGCGGATATTTGGAATGATCATTCAGCACCTCCAATAGAAAGGAAAACAGATGTACACAGCTGAGCCCTCCTACGCTCCCTGGCACCAGTAAGGTTTGCCACAGTTCAAGCCTCTCGGACACTGACAAGCTTCTGTTTTTAGGTCTGTGTCTCTTATTGGAAACATGTGGCACTGTTTGCTCTGTGGACCACCCAGCCCACCCACTTCTGGTGGTTTGGCCTTCTTTTGCTTACCTGCAGGTGTGACCTTACTCACCCACCTAGAAGAAGTCACTCTACCATTTTCTTGTAGTTTAAAAATATGACTGGCTGAGAGAAGACAGTAAGCAAGTAGATTTTTATATTTTTCTGGAAACATATAATTATAAAGTTTGGTGAACTTTGTGAACTTTTTCAAGAGTGTTTTTGTTGCAGACTTGTGACTGATGTGGAGGATCCTTGGGGTAGGAAAAGCAGCTGAAATGCAGGCAGGTTGAGTGGGTTACCTCCACAAACATTAATCTGCACCTCCATCACCTCATCCCCAACCCAGTGCGATCTGAAATTAGATAAACATTTTAGTGGTGATGTGGCAAACCAAAATTCAGCTTGTTTCTTAATAAGCATATTGACTTTATGAAAATAATAAACTTTCTTTTTGTAAAGTAAGCTGCTAGGCATCCAGAGCACACTAAGGTAGCTATATTAAGTAGAATGTAACCACACTCTAAATCTTCACAGTCTGTCAGAGTTTGCTTTATAATTCTAAGCCAGAAATATTCAGAAGAGCACAATAAGTTCTGTTAGCAAGATGTGGAGATTTTCTTGAGCAGTAGGAATGTACCTTGAAGTCAGGATGTTCGTTCACCATTAGTTCTACTCACATTCAACCTGTATTGGCTCTCCTGTAGGGACTCAGACTTACGGCTTCAAAGGGGACAAATGGACATAAATAGGCTGAGTCTCACGGACACTCAAAAAGACACTATTGCCTCATGACCTTGTGTACTATACACCATGATACTGTTCCTTAGGGAAGCATCAGTTATCTTCATAACTCCTCTGAAAGTTTCCTTCTATTGAAAGAAACAATTGAAACGCTATTGTGTGAATCTATCACCCACTCTAGAGTTTTAGAACCCAAAGAGACATTTTTATTTTTTGGATGGGGAAACCAAGGCCTCAATGATTAATTTCTAGCTCAAGATTACATGATTTTTTAATATGGCCACATACTCATGATAAACATGCATTGTTTCAAGAAGAAGATGGTTTAGTTTTTCTTCTCTTATCTGGCAGAAAGTACTTGTTCACAAATGCTAATTGTTGTTAGAGTTATTTTTATTTCTCTGCCTCTCCACATATGGTTGCGTTTCACAACAACATTTTATGGGTTTACACGGCTGTATTCAAGATTTAAGGAATATACCTTGAAAGTGATTATTTTAGATAGTGGAGAATCTAGAAGAGTGTCTGGCTCAACTTCATATGCATCTTAATACCCTTAATACCATGCCTTTTTTTCCACAAGAATAAAAAATACTTATCAGCTAGGACTTTTGATTTAGTAAGAAGAAAGTTAGTATGGAAGAAACCTTTTTAAAGTTCAGAGTTTGCTGGAAAAAAATGTAATCTGTTTCTGTGCCTCTCTCTTTCACTCATTCCCCTAATATATTTGAGATCTATGTGAAAAGTTAACATTGCATAAATATTTTGAAAAGTAATTAATTATAGCGATGAATTAAGGCAGCTAGATGGATAATGTACTTAAACAGCTCTTCATGAGTAAAATGGAAAGTTTTACTAAAAACACTTATTTTTAAAATCTATTTATGGATTTTTCACATCAGTTTGTCCTTATTACTAGGATGTTTACATAAAAAAGTATTCCATAAAGGCACAAAATTATGCCAGTTGCATCTATAATTTGCTTTACTCCAAACCTTGACTATTTAAATTGCTTCCATTTATATGCACAAACCTGAGTGGCTTTTTGTGCCCTCAAATTAAAGGCTCACGTGGAAAATTTGACCTACCATGCACACTTACTCCGCTGCTGCATTCTCCTTCCAACATCTTCTCCCACCTCATTGGGAAGGTGAGTTTGTAAACCCAAAATTTGCTGTAGCTATTAATTTCAGGTTCTTCACCTGTGCCACATTACATGAACTAAATAGGAAGCAATAACCTTCACTGCCTCTTAAAATTTGTTGTACTCCTACCTCCCTTCTGACCATGCTCTGGTAACCATATGTGAAGACATCTAAAAGAAAACTGAATATGCATGAAAGTAGGGGCCCAGAACAGGGAATGAATGAACAAACAAACAAATATGGCTAAAACGTTGTGCCAATAAGTAATGACCACAATCAAAACACTAAAAGATAGTACTATTTGAGCATCTTGTTATAAGCTAAGTACAGATATTTCATTAGCTACATTCATATGCTCAAGAAGTTAGTAATGTGTTCTTTACCCAAAAATGACAGCATTGCTTTCATGGGTATTAGAACTATAATTAGCTTTGTATGAGGCTAAGACATTTTCTGCTTGGGTTGGGACTATTTAGCAATATTTTTCCAGGTAATGCCAACATAAATGAGCTTTATCCGGAAATACTGCCTAGATAACCCATATGGAAAGCTGTTCTGTGACATAGGAAAAATAAACATTAGGTGAGTGTTTTTCTATAATTTCCTTAGGCTTTCTTTAGGGGTTATAAAGCACACATAAGATCTAAGTAAGATAGCCCTTTGATGAACACTAGAATGGTCACCTTGCTGCTCCTCAACCATTAGGTTTTGCTTTCATGAGTTCAGTCCTTGTAGAATTAATCTTCTCTGCCACTGAAATTGACCTGCTGTGACTGTCAGGTAGCTTGCTGTCTTTTGTTTTTCTTCTCATCATTTGTCAAGTCCACAGTTAGGCTGCAGGGATCTTTGTTCACTGGTTGTTTTATGTATAAAGAGTGAGGTTTAAAAAGAAATCTTTGCTAAATAAAAATCTCATTATTTTACTTTCCCACTAATAAAACATTTTTATTTTCCTTACTGCTTTTATTATAATTTGAAGAGAGGCATGTCTTGCAAAATTCTGCAAGTTCTAACCTCTGCCTGTTTTGTTGTCTATTACTCTTTTCTCTCTACTTTGCACACAGTACTTCAGTTTATGTTATTTGAACAATCCACATTCTATCTCACTGCAGGCCTTCCACTCTTGCTGATCACATTGCTGAGAACACACCTTTCTTTTTCTCCTCTGCCTCTCCCTGTACTTGACCTATTTCTAAGCTTAATTTTTAGGTCTCAGTTTCTTATCTGTTAGACATGATACCATTTTTCTTCTTTTTTATCTCTTTTCCTACCTCCCTCTCTTCTTTCCCTCCTTCCTTCCCAATTTGCTCGTCCTCAGGTATTCTTTTGTTTTTGCTTTTCTGAGATGCTAGGGATCAAACCTTGGGCTTCAAACATGTAGTTAGTGCTCTATCATGTGGGCTACATTCCAGCCCCACGGTACCATTTCAATGAAGTCTGAACATATGCTATTGTGCTCAACCATCCATCAGAGTATCACTTGTATTATCACTAATTATCTACATTCCCAATAGTCTATAAATCTAGAAGTTAGAAAATGATAGAAGATGAAGTTAGAGATGATACCTTGTGCATGATTGTAGTCTTAAAACCTGGCACTGTGCTAGGTACACAGCTGCCTCAGAAGTATTTATTGAATGAATTGAGGATGGAAGAATCAACAGGGCAAATATGGAGTACTGTGTGTGTTATTTAAAGGAGCTTTTTCTTGTTGGATCCCAGACAAGATTTAGTTAGAGAAAATATACCTTCATACTGCATGGCATTCTAACAGATCTTTCTGGTAGTGATGTGGAGGATGAGTTGGTGGTAACAAGAATATCTAGGAGTCTAGTTACCAAGTTTTGTCAATGAGAGAAAAGTTTACAGCTGCATGACCATGGAAATTAGATGAAGGGTCAAATTGAGTAGCTGTGAATAAAAATAAATGATAACCTGCTTGAAATGGTGTGGGAGAAGGAAGAGAGAAGTGATATTCAGGGCCCTAGTTTACACAACTCATACTACTAACAGTTATAGAAAGGGTAAAAGCAGATTATTTGAAGAATGGTGTTTGGGTTGACGTACCTGTGGGATATTCAAGTGAAGATTTCTAGCAGACACTGGCACACAAATATATGGTACTCAGTAGCCTATGTATGCCATCAGAATTTGGATATAATAAAGACCTTTGTTTGGATGAGATCATGCAAAGAGAATGAGTAGGGAGAGAGAAGAACTGTGGAACGAGGAGGAGAGCTCCACAAGGTGTGGCTTGAGGCACACTTGGTTCCAAGGACATGGAATGTCTGGAATTAAAGTGTGTCTGTTTCTTAAAGATTTGGGTTGCTCTTATCTCTGTTCTCTGCATTTTTCTCTCTTTCTCTTTTCTTTGACAGCCTATTATCTTCATTCTCTGAGTAAATGATGTGTGGTCTCTAACTTCAAATTGTCAGAATCAGAGTGATTAGTGAAGCCCAGGATTTGATTTTCTTCAGTCCTGGGGTCCATTCCTTGGGTCAATTCATACAACTATGATGGCAATAGCTATGAGGGGGGCAGATCCTCTTGGGAGAAGCTGTGGGTGTGGAGATTATGAATAGCTGCTGTCTCAGAATTTGATGTTAGAAACTCAGATCATTTACTCAGAGAATGGTGAAATATCAGTTGCCTTGGCCACTTTAAAACAAAGGAAGACTAATTGTAGACATTCTGTGTCCAGTCATCAAGGGGGAAGAGCTGTTCTTTGTGACTTATCCTTAGATTCTGTAACAAGATCTCTTATATATCTATTGTGACATTACCTCACATGGTTGAATTTGGTGGACTTCTGGTCCTGCTGAGTGCACTTTATGTTGAGATTCTGTTTACTAGATCTGGGCAGTTCTGTATGTCTAACTAGCTCTCAGATGATGTGATACTGCTGATCTGAGGACCACACTTGAAATAATAGGAATGGTAAAGGCAAGCAGAGCAGCTGGAGTTCAGAGAGGGCCAGGGTGGGGCAGGAGGAGAAATTAACAATGGCTGGGGAGACTCAAGAAGTGGATGTGTTCAGAAACATCAAATGTTGCAGAGGGTTGAGTAAAATAAAAGCAGAAACCGTTTAGTATCAACATTGGTGTGATTTTGTGAGTTCTTTTTAGCAGTGCTTAGAAGCCTATGAATTAGAGAACAGGAATCCACTGAATTAATTCAGAGTTGGGGTTTGCAAAGCTAGGAAGTGGAAGGAAAAAAAGGTACTTAAATAAATGTGTTAGCTAGGAAGTAGATTAAGTAATAAACCTTGCAGTTTAGGTTGTTTCAAATTATCTATTGCCTTTAGGTTGTTTTTTTTAGGAGATGGGAAAGACTTAACCACTGCTTAAGAGAGAACAGTTTCCCATGGAACTATGTGTGGGTGTGTGCCTGTGCAGGCAAATGGGCTTGTGTGTCTAATCCTTTTGCAAGGGATCTGCAGTATATCTACATAACATGCTGACATTAGAAGGATTTATAACAGTTTACTTGTTTGGACTTTGAGAAAGTATTATCTTTTTCAGTTAAACATGGAATATTCTTTTGCCAAGGTGATTATGGAAAGACAATATTACAGAGGATGGAGATGTGGTCCAGGGTGTGGTGTTTGTGGATATCTTTGGAGAGTCACAAAACTGGCATGTGAATGGTGCCTCATCAGAAACCTTTCGGTTCCACACTTTGTTAGTTTTCTACCTATGTCATACCCAACTGAACTAATCCAAGTACATGGTACCATTTACAATTCATGCTTAAGTCCTTGCAGTAACTTTCGTAGCTTACAAATGACCCCACCATGGAAATGCTATTTCTGAATGACAGGCTTGTGGAGGAGTGGAGGGAGTTGGCAGGAATGCTAGCCCAATCTACCACATTAATAGATTCATAGATGTCATGGGCAGCTTGCCATCCTGAAAATCTGCATAGTGATCTTCAGTCATTTAAATACTTACTTCAGTGATGCCATCCTGTTCTGTACATTATCAGTCATGTCACGTAAGCCAATGTCTAAAATGTTATTTACATTTTGCATTTTAATGGTGCTACATTTGTCGGCAGGTGATTTGATCCAAAGAAATGGTATGGGTTTCCTGGTCCTATGATGATTAGAACTAGTCCTAGAATTCTCAGTTGTTGGCCCTTAGGTTTAATCTTTAGAAAACACCAAGGCTATTAAGTGTTTTTAACTTTTTAAAGCAGCAAATAACTTTTAATTCACTAGAATTTAATGTATTCACATGGATAATTCAAATAATGACTTTGAATAGGTGTAAACTGAACCAATCACTTAAGATAAATTTTCTGGAGATAAAATTTCACTGGCCAACTTTTCCAGAAAACTCATTAGTTACAGTTCTACACACATTCAAACAAAGAAAAATATTTACTGCACATTTTGGTTACCATTTAACTCAGTATAGAAGAAGTAGTTATTCTTTTTTTTTTTTTGAAAAAGCAGCTAAAATTCATCTCTAAGTTGATTTATCTCTTGGCATCTGAAATTGCAGTTTTAGAGAGATTTTATAGAACATGGCTTTTGGATTTTACAAAGAAGTACTTTCAGCAAGAATAGAGTAAGACTCTAAATCACTGAGATTAAAAAGTCCTGTAAGATAATGACTATTAAACCTATATATAAATTTGTTTGAGTTATGCTTTGCCATGAAGGTTTTCCATGGTAGATTTGAAACCCATTGAAGAATAAACTTGTGTGAGAATGCACACAAGTTATTGCTAAACATTGATAAGCACAGGCAAGTGCCAAGAGTGGCTTTTGGTGTGTTGTTTGTTTAGATTACCTGAACACTTTGCTTTTATAAGTTAGAGTTGAGAATATACTACTATCTCTGTTTGAGAGCATAAAGATACTTTGAGTTGGGTAGCTTTTGAGAAAATATGTTAACCCTGGTTTTACTGAGGCCTGACTCAATGGCTATTTCAGTGGGCATGTTTTTAAGTAACCTGCCCCTCTGAGAGAACAAATTAACTTCTTAGTGGAATAGCTCATATTGTAAAAATCAATTAAAAGTGACATTTGATCATTCCAACTGGTCAGATCCAAAGCACTGTTTCCAAATTAGTTTCTTAAAACATACTGATTTTAGGACAATGACACTGTGGTTAAGAACTTGCCCATTAAAAAAATTTAAATTAGTACTTAGGCTCACCTCTTTGCTTTGCATCTTTTGTTTAACTAGGGAAACTTTTATTTCTTTCCTTAAAAGACACTAAAATTACATTCAGAAAACTTGGTTTGAATCTTGATTCTCCAGTCCCTTAGATGTATAACTTTGAACAAGTTATATAATCTATACTTATCTTACTTATTTCCTCAAACAATGGAGTTGGCAATAATTCCAGGGGTTGTAAAGGTTGTAAAACTGAGGCACAGAAAATGAACTGGTTCACAATTACATAGTCAGCGTTACCAGTCAAATTTAATTTCCTTGTACTCTACATTCACCTTTTAGGAAAGATTTTGGCAAGCATCATGTTTTAGGAGAAAGTCATTCATGGGTTTTAGATATGAGGGATGTCTTCTCATCTTGGAACAACGATGCTACCTATCAGCATGTGTGGATGACACAGAGCTGGTTTCTTATTTTACTTAACAGTTTTTCTTTTCTAATCTCTAGAGTTTACTGCTATATAAGTTTACTATGTGTTAATTACTAACTAGGATTTCTTCTTTCTCCACAGCCCATGCTATTGTAAAGGAAACTGAACTTGTCAACACTAGTTGTCTTTCTTGTTCTGTGCATGAAATAATTGAATGCCTCCCAAAGCTCCATCCCGAAGATGTTCCAGAGCTCATGTACACTTAGTCCTCTTTTCAGACTTTTAGTTTATTTGACTTGGTTTTTTATACCACACATAGTTATTCTTTAATATAGGCACATTGCCATTTATTTAAGTTACTCACGTATTTGTTTACAACTTTGATGATCTCCCATGTTCCAGAAACACTGTAGGTATTGGGAGTGGGGTGGTGAATGTAATAGGTTTGTGCCCTTTATTAGTTAAATTTTCAGTCTAATGGGAGAAGATAGTCATCAAATAGAAGTAACGCCACTTCTCTGGATAGTGCTATGAAGGCATCGAACATGGTGCTCTAGGGATGGATAAGAGAAGGCATTGGTCAGATACTTGGTGATCATAATTGGTTCTCCCTTTCCTGTTTTCAGCCCTGTACAAGATGTCAGAGACTTAGAAAGAGCAGAGCCAGGGCAGGTTAAATAGAGTGGATGCCCAGCAGAGTTGGCAAGGCAAAATAGAGGATAACATAAGGGAGCCAGAGAGAAAAGAAAAAGCAAAAAATTAGCTTAAGCACTGCAACACATATCAGTTGTTGAATATGTATGTCACTGTGTCACTGAAGATAAATAATATTGTCATAACTGCCATTTTTATGAAAAATTATTACATAGTCATTCTACTCAACTCATTAAAAGAGCGAGGAACACAGTAAATGAAATATGATTTCCATTAACATGGTCAAAGTATTTTCTTGTTTATAGTTTTATAACCCAGTCCACTCCGTTTTAGTTACTCTCTAGAGATTCCCAACACAGTTTGGTGACCCTCGTGAAATCCACTGATGGTTTCTCAGGCTGCTTGAAATTAAGCATCATGCATAGCAGCCCCTGTGTATTTTGCTGGAGAGAGGTCCCATAACTTGCACTGGGTTCTAAGAGTCTGTAACTCCATACGCCCCCAGTTTTGCACTCTAATATTTTGTGATTTTCTTTTACTTTTTGTGACACTCAGATGGTTTTTCCTCCTCAAAATGGTTTCATTTTTCTTTTGATTTTCATGATTGTATTTTGGTATTTTTAAATGTTTACTGCTTGGTTATCCTCAGTGTGTGGTATTCTTGGTTTATTGTATGCATCTGATCCCAGTCCTTCTCTCTGTCTCTCTTTTGTCTGGCCAACAGTGTGGGGATGTGCCAACTGCAGGGTTGTGTTCTCCAGCCCTTCTGGAACCTTTACATCTCCATGCTACCCCAATGACTACCCTAACAGCCAGGCTTGCATGTGGACCCTCCGAGCTCCCACCGGCTACATCATTCAGATAACGTTTAATGACTTCGATATTGAAGAAGCTCCCAATTGCATTTATGACTCATTGTCCCTTGATAATGGAGAGAGCCAGACTAAATTTTGTGGAGCAACTGCCAAAGGACTATCATTTAACTCAAGTGCGAATGAGATGCATGTGTCCTTTTCAAGTGACTTTAGCATCCAGAAGAAAGGTTTCAATGCCAGCTACATTAGAGGTATGTAAACCAAAGGCTGTGCCAACCTTCTGCTTTCATTTAACATGTTCTCCAATAAACACCAGGACCAGAAGACAGAGTTATGCTCTTTTATGTGAATGTGAATGATTAGGATTAGGATTCAAGGGCAAGACTGTTCATTTTCTATGAACATTCTCATTAGCAAACTATAATCACCAGATCCAAAATCTGGTTTCAGTAGAGCTGAATTCTTCTATATTGTTTATATGGGAAACATTTAAAAGCTGCTGGGAAGACAGTGTAGATATTCTATTACCAGTAATTAATATCTATAATTCTGATATCTCTCCACTGAAAATTAAAGACATCTTTATTTAGAAATCATTTTTATTATGGGTGTTTAAGATGTTACCCTTTTAAAGGACTGTTCCAGGGGACAATACAATAAATCAGTGTACAAATTTAAAAGTATCTATTAATAACTTGAGGTAATAAACAACTTAGCCTGAGGAAAGCCCTAAAAGTGGCTAATTGAAGGACATAAGACATATTATTGAATACGTTTCCTAGATTCTGGCACATTACATTAAAATAATCTATCTCTAAAAACAGCTTTTTTCTTTGGGGAAACGCAAGCTTCAAGACTGTGAGATTTAGTTATACATTTTTTTCCTCCTGGGCTTCATAAGTAGATGTCATGTATTAACAAAAAGGAGAAGAAAAGAAAGAAGCAAGATGGGAAGGCACAACCGTGACATTTTAACTGAGGAGTTATAGGTGATTAAGTAAAGCATACATAGTTTAGTATTTAAAGTGATGTTTTAAAAATTATAATATTAGTATTCACTTGCAATTTACTGCTATGTGAAGGCATTGATGTATGCTTTGAGATACTAGCTTATTTAATTCTCATTGGCCATCTATGTAGTAGGTGCCATTGTTCTTCCTTATACAGATGAGGAGACCAAGGTAGAGAGAGGAGAAAAAACATACCCCAGGTTAAGGAAGAGCTGGGATATGAAGTTCCATTGTCTGCCCTTTAACTTCAGTTCCTTAATATCTGTCAAAAATTACCTTGATTTGACCGAGTGTAAAGGAACTATATCTTAAATTTCCATTTTTGTTTGGTTTTTCACTAGACTCCTTCCCTTTTATAGAGTTCTTTTGCATTTGTTCCTAAAGTAGCCTGATAATGGGGTGGGGGAGGAGGAGAAGGGGGGAAAAGACTGGGAAGAGTGAAAGGCAGTTGTTAATGAAAAATAGAACTATTGATTATTCTTGGAAAGGATTTGAAAAATAAGCTGTTTTAAAAATCTTAGGCAGCCTGCCTAAAACCAGTTCTTTCCTTAATTAGCGAGTTACGTTTTTAAATTTTTAATGAATTAGTTCAGAGAAGTAAAATACTGCGTTGGCTAGCTGTAAGTCAGAGTTTCTGTGTAAAGTGCAATCATGTTTAGAGTTAAAATCAACAGGATTTCTTATTGAATGGATTAGTGATAGAAGATGGACAGAGAAAGGGGGCAGTGAGGGGGCAGAGGGTAAGTGAAAAGTTAATTAGTAGAAAGTGGTAGAGGGCTGAAGTGTATCAGACATTTTGTATCTCAGTCCATATGCTGGAGTTGCCATGCCTTATCTCTGGTGTTTTGTTTTGTTTTAGTTGCTGTGTCCTTAAGGAATCAAAAGGTCATTTTACCCCAAACACCTGATGCTTACCAGGTGTCTGTGGCCAAAAGTGTCTCCATTCCAGAGCTCAGTGCCCTCACACTCTGCTTTGAAGCAGCCAAAACTGGTCATGAAGACAACGACTGGACAGCTTTCTCTTACTCAAATGCATCCTTCACACAATTGCTTAGTTTTGGAAAGGCTAAAAATGACTACTTCCTGTCTATTTCTGGCTCAAAATGCTTTCTGAACAGTGCTTTACCTGTGAAGGACAAAGAAGACATTTTCACAGAAAGTTTTGAGCAGCTCTGCATTGTTTGGAATAATACTTTGGGCTCTGTTGGTATAAGTTTCAAAAGAAACTATGAAACAGTTCCGTGTGATTCTACCATCAGTTCAACTATTCCTGGGAATGGGAAATTGTTTTTGGGGTCCAATAAAAACGAAATTGCCTCTCTAAAAGGGGACATTTATAACTTTCGACTATGGAATTTTACTATGAATCCAAAACTCCTCTCCAATCTCAGCTGCAATGTGAAAGGGAATGTGGTTGATTGGCAAAATGACTTTTGGAATATCCCAACCCTGGCCTTGAAAGCTGAAAGCAACCTGAGCTGTGGTGAGTCTGTGGCACAAAGAATTAATATTTTCTTTTAATTGGTGAAAATGTTTGTCAGTAAGAAATTGTATCCACACATTTGTATATGTGTGTGTGTGTGTGTGTATACACAATTATCATTAAAAAGCTCTTTTAATTTTAAAAACGTAATCCAGTCAGTCATAGCAAACATTTGATTACAAGCCATGCTTATTCAGTGAAAGATTTTTGTCTTCCCATTCTCAATTTATCCCTAGCTCATAAATTATCACAGTTTATCACCAACAAAACAGTTATAATTATCAAGTCTCAAAAAGAAATGAGAACATTAGGCTAAAAACAAAAGAAGTTAATAAATAAGTTATTGTTTTTAATCACAAAAAAGATATACAATAATCTGATCTTTATCATCCTAGAATAAAATTTCAGTTGTATTTCTTAGTAGTTACCACCTAAGTATTAACCTGCAAACTTTCCATTTTATGGAAAGACTTGATAATCAGGAATTGTCAAGGTTTTCAGTCCATTTGTTTGAAAATGAATGTCTGTAGCTTGTTTTAAATACTCTTCTCTTTCTGGTTGCTCCTTAAGAGACTTTAAATATAGTATCATTGGCAATAGCCAAATGTAAGATATTTTGGAAAATAATTCTATATAACAAAATTATATTGAAATAGACCTCCATCAAATAGTCTCTCTATACACAGCTGATTCTGAAAAAATCTTTATTTTATTATAGGGCTGATTCAAACACAAATAACAGAAGTTTCATTATCAATTTTAATTGCCATATGACCTAAATCTAAGATGTTGATAATATATACTTTTTGGTCATAAAACTACCTCTCAGGAAAGGAGAGAAGAAAGAACCTAATATTTGAAAGCCATCTCCTCAAGTTTCCCAGACCTGTACCTGCCCTTCTGGTATGGCAAAGTCCTGCCCCCTACCCCTCTATAAAGACCACCCACTTGTGTATATGGTCCATAGGGCCCTTGCAGTTGCTGGAATACTATTAAATGATGTCATATGAGAGAGATTTTCTTAGGGCTTGTAAGAAAGAGTGCTAACTACAACCCTGTTCCAGAAGGAGACTGTGGGACTTTATAAGAGTTAATTGTGTTCCATAGATTCTTAGTCTAAGATTAGTTAGAGAGGACATTCAGGGACTCTCAAGAAGTCTTTTACTCAGTAAGGAAATCGAGACCGTCAAATGAGTGTGTTTGGTGTGGACTGTAAATGAACAAGGAGAGGAAGTGATGCATTTACTTCCTGCATCCAGTATGATTGTTTTTATTTTTTAAATTTTGTTATTGTTGTGCTATGTGAGAGTACATTGTAGCATTTGTAGAGGTTCTTACAATGTATCAGATATATCCTACTTGAATTCACCCCCTCCACTGCTCTCTTTCATCCCCTGCCATTTGATTGTTTTTAGTCTTGGAGCCTCTATTCATCATTTTCTTGGCCACTGTTAAATTGCAGTATAGATTTTTTGAACATTTAATTTTATATGGGATAGCATTTTTAGGACTATAGCAAACAAAAATTTGGACTAGGTATATTAATAAGTACTAACACTTAGATTTAAATTGCTGATCACGATGGCTCACACTTGTAATCACAGCTACACATGAGGTGTATGTAGGAGAATCAAAGTCTGAGGCCTACCAGGGCAAAAATTCTAGACCCTCTCTGAAAAATAACTAAAGCAAAGCAGAATTGGTTTGTGGCTCAAGTGGTAGAGTATCCGCCTAGCAAGCATGGGTCCCTGAGTTACAATCCCAGTACTGACCCCTAGGTAAAAAAAAAAGTACTGACAAAATAAATTGTATTTAAATTGAATGCACATTATGTAGCAGATACAAAATAAGCACTTTGCACATATTTCCTACATCACTGATATCATCATGTGGGTTTCTTTTCCTGACCCTATTTTGCACATGAGAAAATCTGGGCACATGGAGAGTAAATAATTCATACAATGTCACTTTATTACTAAGTGGCCAAGCCAGGATTTTAACTCAGAAAGCTTAGTTTTAGAGATATGTTCTCTTAATCAGTGTAAATTAGACTCTCCGTCAGCATGAACCATCCTAGAGGATGTGATTTAGTCCTAGAATTTGCAAGCTAACTCTTGCCCAGAGGAGTATGAAGGTCTAAGAACCAGCTTTTCTGGCCAGCAGTGCATTCCATGGGAAAACACTGCCCTTACAGGGTTTTAACATAGTATCTGTTTTAAACAAACTTAATAAGCTCTGTTCCTTCAGTGCTTCTTGGATACCTTAATATGATAAAATAAGAGGGCTCATTATTATAAGGATTCCTATACTTTTTCAGAAATCCTTAATGACAGATCTTGGCAAACCAGGAAAGCCTATGGCAGGCTACTGTGTAAATAAAGTTTTATTGCAGCACACCACCCTTAGTTTGTGCTTTGTCTATGACTGCAACTTTGCTGCAGGGATGAAGTTGACTGATTGTGTTAGACACAACATGGCCCACCACTTTAAAATACTGATTGTCAATCCCTTTATGAGAAAATGTGCAAACTCCTGAAACTAACCCAAAGAATCATCAGGGTCCAATTTTCTAAAGCTCACACCTTGAACCACACAGGAAAAGAACTGCCATACCTCCAGCGCCAGAAGTGAAAAAAAACCAAACACCTCTAGACTCATTGAGCCCTTGACTTGGGTATGGTGGTAGCATTTATTTGTTGTTTATTTGCATTTTCTACATAATGCTTTTAAATGATAAATTTGTTTCCATCATTAAAAAGTTAGATTTCACATAAAAAATGATTTATTTTCTTTTTCTTGCAAACAAAACACTAATACTTAGTAGCACTTCAACATGGTCAACACAGCTAAAGTTAAGATGTGGCTCCTTTTGAAGGAACTTTCCAGTTTACGCCAGCCCTGAATCCTTCCCACTCCAGCCTCTTTCAATTGCCTTCTGACCATGGTGGGCATTTAAGTTTGGAAATCTCAATTTAGGGTACTCCTTTCGCTTATGCAGGGGAGGACCGTGAAGCTTAGAAAAAAATAACTGGTTGAGGGGGAGAGTGGGTAAAAACACACCTCTGCTTCCTTGTCCAGTTTGTATCTGGGAGTCCTCATGGTTCCTTTATTTTTAACTTATTAATTTATTTTTATTATCAGTTGACAAAAATTGTCTGTATTTATGTTGTACAACATGTCTTTATGCACTCGTAGACTAATTCAAGCTCATTAGCACATCTGTTACCTCAATAGGCTTAATCCTTTATTTGTTTGAGAAAATTTTAAATCTACTCTATTGACAATTACTTTTTCTTTCTTTTTTTTTTTTTTTTAGTTGTAAATTGTGGTGCTAGAGATGGAACTGTGGGACTGGAGTATAGTAGGCAAGGGTTTTACTCTGAGTTATATCCCTGTCCTCCTCTCTTAGCAAGTTCACATATATGGTATATTGCTTTGAGCTATAGTCACATACAATAGGTCTCCTGAACTTATTCCTCCTAGCTACAATTTTGTGTCCTTGACATTTCTCTAATTCCTGTGTCCCACCCTTCAACCCCCTCACTCCCTGTTAATCACCATTCTACTCTGTTACTATGATTTCAACTTTTTGAGATTCCACATATAAGTGACATCATGCAGTCCTCTTAATTTCTTAAACATTGTCTTTGAGACTCCTCTCCTAAGCCTTAAGATTACTGGAATATAACAAATGCATGCTGATGTACCTTAGTCATCTGTATGTTTCAAAATGATTTCATCAAAGGAGCAGCACAGGCTTACAGAGTCAGTATGTTTGGGTTTCTTTAGCTCTTACAGAAGTCATCTTGACATTCTGAAATGACTCTAAACACCCCCATTGGGTACACTCATCTGCCCCAGACTGTGTGTCACAAGGAATGATGGGAGAGGTAATTTCCTGCTGCTTAATCATCAGCTTTGGGAGTTGAAGAATCCAAGTCACTTATTAACTGACAGGAAATACCTGTACTAAAGATTATATCTAGGCTGTTAGCTAAGTTAAACTTCAATAAGTAGAAAAAAGTATCTTCTATTAACATTTTAACCTTTCCTTCCCCTCCCCCCCCCCCCCCCCCCCCCCCCCCCCGGAAAACACTGTGACTTGCTGTTTATGGTTATCATAATTTCCAGCAAACTCACGACCAGTACAGTAACCAATGGAAATAGGATTACATTCCTGGCATTCCACTGTACTGAGCAGGTCTGTGAAACATGAGCTATTCCAGGATCAACTTGCGATAGAAAAGGAATAGATTTCCTATTTGTGATTTGCCAAACAAGTTATAATATGAAAGTAAGGAAGTAAAACCAGCAGACTACATTTAATATTTAAATGCCCTGACGTTTGTTTCACATATTAAATACTCTAGCCTTAATAAAATCAGGATCTTGTTAATCGATTTCTTAATTAAACAATTTCATAATTGGACTTTTTGTTTCTCTATACTTTTATAAGCATATTTGTGGACTATGTCTGAATTAAGAAAATTTCAGTAGATTTTTTTAAATATGTTTAATCTTCTCAGATCTTTCCAGAAATAAATGCTTTATTTAACAATAATTCTTTTTCATGTCATAAGGTCTTTTTTTCCTAGAACAAACTTTTAAACATATTCAGTTAAACATATTCATATCCTTCTTACAGCATTCAGAGAACATATAATTTCCTTAGTTGACTTTTTAATTATAGGTACAAGTATTTGACTGTTTTATAATTTTAAATTCAGACACCCCACTGCCCATCAATTTTCACAAAGAACAGACAGTGCTTTCTCTACCAGTTTTATTTATTTTACTGATTACTGCTCTTTCCTGAACAGTGGTACAGTTAACTCAATGAATAGTCCAACTTCAAACAAATTAGATTTACTTAACAAGCATTTCTTAAGCACTTCCATCTGTTAGACATTGTGGATGTAGAGATAAGACACAGATCATCTGTATCCAGCTTTGTTGTTTCTCTAGAAATTCTTTGTTGTGATTTATAGAAATTTCTGGATTTTCTTATAGACTTTTGTACTTAACAACTGCTAAGGCTACCCTTTCATAATTACTACAGATCTGTGCTTCACAGCTCTAAAACTCAATTACTGGTTCCTTCCTTGTCTAACAAATTGAGTTGTGTTTTTAGATTACTATCATTTGAAAATAGCAATAAAATCACATTACCTTTACAAAGGACTTTATTATTTGAAAATGCTCAAACTTTCCAGAAATAATTTTATTTTAAATATATTTACTTATTAAAAGTTACAAAATTAATCTTAATAACACCTGCAAAGAAAATTTGAAATGTCATACTTTTTTCTGATTATTGCACTTTACTGCAAAATTTTACTCTACTCTTATTTGAATTATCCAGTAGTGTGTGTGATAAGCTGTTGGCTGTACATCAGACCATTTTACCATAACTTGTGTAATTATATAGTGACTCCATTGAGTAGCATGATTTGGAAAGAACAACAGATAGAGAAGAAAGATTAGACTTTATAACTTTTGGCCAGTTTCCCATTTGCAGTGGTTGTAATTTTGTTTCAAAAAGTTTGACTCTAAATTTTATTGTTAGACAAATAGCTTTAAAGACCTTTGATGAAACTCAAAAATCAGAGAACATACACAGATCATGTTCTAAAAAGATGGTAAGTATCCCAGAAAAAGGATGACCTCTTCTCCCAATTTACAAATCTGTTGGCCTAGAAAAATTGATCATGACTTTTTTGATCATTCACATTTTTATGCAGATATGCTGCAAATAGAACTGGATATAAATGAATAGGTTGTAAATATTTTTGGCTGTTTTTGTGTGTGTGGTGGGGTTTCACAATTTTGCTTAGACTGGTCTGGAACTCTGGGCTCACGTGGCCTTCTTACCTTACCGTTCCCTATAACTGGGACTGCGATGACATGTCACTTCGGGCTGTGTTTACTTTCTGTGTTTCATACATTTGTTATGTCATTTGTTGTATTTGTAATGTAAGATTTCATTAATCAATTAACTTCCAATTAAATTTAATTTGTCACTTGTACCATTTCACTAAAACAGGCAAAAGCAAATTTAATCCCATTGCTCAATCGGATCAACATAAAGTAGTGTTTTGAGTATTTATCAAGCAATATCAATTTGCTAAACTAGAAGTTCCCCATAAAAATGACTAATTAAAATACTGAGAAACAAGTGTTTATCATTTTCCTTGAAAGTATGCCACATTAAAATTTGTACTTGGTACCATACAAGGAAACTGAGAAGATGTGCAAGAAAATTAATGAACATCTCATTCTAAAACATAGTTCTTCTGATTTTCTTTCCTTATTTCCACCTCTAAGCTCTTTAATATGTTGTAGTGGAAATGTATTTAGCCTAAGACTTTCTTTCCCACAACACTGTCCCTTATCTTTCTTTGTCTTCTGGAGATACTGTATCAGTTCCAGAAGTGCCTAAGGAGCCTTTGCCTGCCAACATTGTGTGTAATTTGAGAAGGCAGGAACTCCATCCAAGGGTCTCTTCTGTTGCATGCTATAGCGACTGAGATTAAATCAGTCACTTTGAGTTTCAAAGGCTTTTTACTTTTCAGAAGTCCCTTACTAAAATATGAGTGCCTAGAGGAGGAATGAGGACCTGAATAAAGAAGGCATGCACTGTGATGGGAAGGAATAAACAGCAGAAAACATTTAAGATAAAATTCTGCCTCTGCCCTTCCTCAACTTCTGCCTCCTCAAATACTCATTTTCCAGAGGACACTCACTTAGGTTTTCAGTGTTGAAGAAAAAAAAAAAAACCTTTCCCTATCTCTACTTCCTTGCACAACCAAGCTTCCTCTTCTTGCATTTGCTCTTCAGACTGCAGCAGTATGAATTTCAATGTTCCCACGGGACTGAGACCAATTTCTATAGAGCTACTACTAAAATTCCAATGCAAAGCTAAAGGTCTTCCAGTCTTTACCACCATGACCTTTCAGTCATACTTGATATTGCCACACCTTCCGTTAAGCAGTTCTTCACTTAAATTCTGTGAAATTCTACAAGATTTGTTTTTACCCTCTCAACTTTATGTGGCTAATACTTAAATATAGGACTATTTATGGTCTGTTCTTTTCTCTTTTCAAAATCAACACTCTGGCTCTTGTGATTCCAAACACATGAAGAGCTTCTGTTGAAGATTTCCTAGCTTGACTTCTTACAGAAACATGTACACTTCCTGGGTATTTAGATATTGCACAAATACCTAGTTTCCATCACTGGATTTATTGTTAATCTCTCTAGGCCTAACTTGACACTCCTGGTATTGCCTGGCTCCTTTTACGAGATCATTATGTGTCAGTTTCTCAAGTTGAGAACCAGCAAAATGTTCTCTAGTCTTCCCTTTCTTGTCCTCTTTCCAATTAGTCACTAAATCAAATACATTCTTTTTTTCATATTTCTGGTATCCAACTCTTTCTGTCCACCTTCATTACACTCATGAGTTGTTAGTTTTATGCCTGCTTTTTATACTTCTCCTCTTTTGTTATAGGACCCCAAAAGTGATTGTTTTAAAATATAAACCTAATCTTCTCTCTCAGATCCTCTTTATTTTTCCCACTGTCTTTAAGAAAGAGTTCAGACTTTTAGCAGTCATTCATAATGTGTTCAGTAATTTATTTAGTAAAGCTTGAGCTCTCAACTACTGTGTGTGTGATTTACCCTTGGAAGAAAGACAGTGTTCATGATGCTTTGATAATCATCCCTAGAATTTCCTATAATTGCTCAATTGCAGCAGTGCTGTTACTTGGGAGTTGCAGACCTCTTCAGTGCGTCCTTGGTTTATGTTTCAGAAACCTTATGTGGTAGTATCACATCTTTTGCAACTACATATGCCTCACAAGTCTACTTCTTTGTATTAGACTTCCTTTTCACTCTTCTCAGCAAGTTGCTGTCATACCCTTCTTTGGACCAACACAGCCTTCAAAAGCATTTGCCTTAGCACTTAGAACTGTGAAGCCAGTTTCTATTCATGCCTCTGAGAGCAGAGACAACGCATGAAGCATTCTCCTGGCCTCTGTGCCTCAGATGTTGTAGGCAATGAGTAAAGGTTTGTTTCAAGAACATGTAAAAGTCTGTGATGAGAGTTTCTTGTCAGTTAATGTCACCTGACAGATCTGCCTATAGGCCTGGACCAGCTGAGGTACCATAATTCTTTTCTTGGGCCAGAAACCTGAGGCGACTGAGAATGTAGAAATCATGCCTCTTGAGACGCTGTTAAACTGTTGGGGTGTTTTCTACTTACGCATACCATTTACCTAACTAGATGTCTTTTGTGAGCTTATGTACCTGCCATGACTTCACATGTTATTCCATGGGAAAGTTAGGAAAGTGTTTAAACATTGTAATAAAATCACTATCTATATAAAAGTTCTTTAAAGCTATATATATATATATATATATATATATATAGTATTCAACATATATATGTGTGTGTGTTTATCTGTATTTATATATATGCACACATACTTATTACATGTGTTCATATTTATTCTTATGTGTGTATTCAGATGCACTGTGATTTGCAATAAGTTTAGCCCATTTTTCCCAGACTCATTCTATTGATTGTTATAGAGAGATCTAGTGCAATAGAGAAAACCCACTACTTCTGCTAGAAAATGAGCTCAAAGTCTATTTCCTGCTGCTGATGAGTCAGTAAAAGCTTGCAATAAAAAGAAACAAGACTGACTTGAAGTCACAGAAAGATACTTCTGGAATTGCAGACATGCTAGTGGCTATGAACCAAAAAATGTGAATTTTATGAGTAATTCATATTATAGCAGTTCACTTTTGAAACTTTGCCTTGATGCTTTTATTATTTTTATGAATTTCTGCTAGAGCCTTATAATTTATGCCATAAGGTCCCCAACTTTTCATACAAACTTTTAACACATCTCTTCTTTTGTGTGTGTATGGCTGATAAACTGAACTCAAGATCCTGAGGTCAATTACATTTGAGAAAAGTTTGGCACAGTGACCTTATCAGATGTTATGTTGGAGTGTTGTTAGTGGACTCTTCTGGAGGGCCATTTCTGTTCTATCAGTTACATGATCTGTAATACTTGTTTTGAATCATATCAGTAAATTGCATGTGCCTCTGTGTTCATCAAGGTTCCTACCTGATCCCGCACCCGGCAGCAGAAGTAGCCAACTGTGCAGAACTGGGGACTCTCTGTCAAGGTAGGGAACCACCAGCTTCTGCAGTCTTTCTGCCTCTTACTTGCTGTTTTGATTATTGTAACTGACATTGTTTTGACTTGTATCTCAATTTCCACTTGGAAACCCAGAAGCCAGCAAAACAGAAGAATTTCTGGATGTGTTTTAGTTGTGTGGGTGCACAGTGCATACAGTGTGGAGAAAGAATGTATTCACACACTGGATGACAATATTTCCATAAAGCAGTGAGTTTTCTAAATGTGAGTGATTGTATGCTATTAAACAGAATTGATTTTATTTTTTTCTATTTCTTGTTAAGAATATTGCAGAGGTCTAGTATAAATATAGACATACTACTTTGAAGAAGTATTTGTATTTATAAAACAAAGGGAAAACTAAATTGAATATTTAGATAAGCTTAAAGCAATGCCATGAGGCAGTTTTTATCATGTGCAATATAAATTAAATCTTTAGATAAAAGTAGTTGTACTAAGCTAATGTTAATATAATTATATTAATTATTGTATTGTTTAATGAGTATATCATGGTCAATATTCAGTTGTATTATATGCTAAGTGATTGCATGCTAAATAATGCATAAAGTCACACAAATTTTAAAATAATGATGTAAGTATGTTGCTTTAATTTTGTCATTGCTCCTCCTAATTTTCCATGATCCTTTTCCAACCATTATTCTATTAAGTACTTCTATATAAAGTGGCATATTCTATGTACCACCTAAGAATCATGACCATACCTTTCATAAAAGCTGACTGTCTTATTAAGAGGATCATGGCACAAAGGTGACAGGTTAGAAGTGAGATCAAGGGACTAGAAACCAATGTCCTTTTCTATAATTCCAGTGTGGGAAGAGGTCAGGCAGGGGGAGGGAAGAACTCATTATTATCTTGCTTTTCCTTTCTAAGATAGTTCATTGATTCTATAATTGTTCAATACTCTATGAAAATTAAGTTGTTAGTTTCTTTCCATGAACTCAGTATAGCTTTTAAAAAAGTTATATGACCTGAAACCTTTATTTTCTTTAGTTTAAGATCTGAAGGGTTTTAAAAAAGCATTTTTTATTATTTTTCTATTCTTTGAATCTGAGATATCTGTGATATCTGTGGTATTTATTCTTTGGAATAAAGGACTAGGTAGCTAGCTTTTTGTTTTTCTCCCTAGGTCCTAAGTCACCAAAAAACATTTTCATGATGTATTTGGCAATATGATAAACATAATAGGTTATTCATAATTTTTCTTAAGGCTTCAAAAGTTACTCCTATTTCTAAATGCTACATAATACTTTGCAATGAAAATTATTTTATTTATGAATGCATATTTTGCATCAAAGAATTTGGCATTTAACAAGGAGCCTTTGGAAGGTTACTCTCTGTAAAACCACTTGAATGTTTTAGATTTAAATAATTCTTAATTTAAAAAGATATATAACAATGGTCTTTGTACATATGAATGTACATCCAAGTATATTCTATTAGTACATACAAATGTCCTCATAAGGTAAGCTAAAGAAAAATCATGTGTGTTGTTTATTTTGCTTCGTATATAGCTCCTTAAACTCCTTAGAAAGATACTGTCAAAACACTGCATTAGAGTTTAATCTTTGAGAGTTTTTAAAGCATCAGAAGCATGGCTATGATATAATACTTAGAAAATGTTTCCCCTGTATGGTTTACCCATGTGAAATTCTTATCTATCAATGTTTGCAAAGGTGATCTTCAAATGACTGAGTTAGTCAATACATGTTACTCTCTTGCTTTTCTTTGCATTTATTTTCTCAAGGAGAGATAACATTTTTTTCTTAGATTGTATTTCCCAGTCACAGTTTATCAGGTAAACTGACTTAGTTTAGATAATCTTCAAGGTGTAGTTCTGTGCAGACTTCCTGCAACTCAGGAAACTGAGTTCTGGAATGGTTTAGTAATTGCTGTGTGACTGTCAGCCTAGATGTAGAATCTCAGTGTCTTTTCTCCAGTCTGTCCATTTGTGCCAGTTCCATTTCCTTGTACAAAATGGTACTGAAGGCCATGTGAATTGATTCTTAATGTGCCATAGAAAGCCTTGCTTCATTTTATGCATTATAACCTTTTAGTCTGTTGTATTTAATGGCAGGAATGGTTTCCATTCCTCCTCTATGTATTTTCATGCATCAATTATAGATTGCTCATCCATATTAACTGTCATGTGCTCCTTGCAAAATTACATCTTTCTCATCTTTATTACCAGCTACTGTAAGCTCTCCTAGTACTACACCACTCACTAACATGCCTGTTACTAACAGAATCCGTAGACAAAAGAATGGTAAGAAATTATTACATTTTTTATTTGGAAGTATGTCTAATATAATTTAAAAACTTATATTCTAAGGGTGGGAAATATCTATTGTTTCAACAACTTTTCTGTTATTGTCCCATTTGTGCACTTGTAAGACTAGTAAAATAAATAAGCATGACTGTGTGTCTTGACTTTCCTATTACTAAGACTAGTGGAATGAGTAGGTTTCTAGCACTTCTTTTCTGCAATTTTAACTAAAGTTTCTTTCAAAGGAAGTTTTAAGAGAAAGGCACTTAATTAAAAGGAATTAATTTGCATTATAATAGAGATTCACAAAAGAAAGCCTTTTCTTTCCAATGTATTTTGTCAAATTTTTCTTTTCAGGAAACTGATTTTTAAAGGAATTTTTAATTTAAAAAATGAAGTAATTTTTCTAATTTAATTGCTCATGGAAGTCAATTTTATGTGCAAATATTTGCCACATTTAAATTGAGTTCCATGGCAATATTCTGCTCTTTTATTTATTGAAGAATAATGTTTAGCATGTGATTTCTATATAAACTTAATCACAAGTCATTTTGTTGTTGTTGTTTTGTGGTGCTTGGGATCAAATTCAGAGCAAATGCTCTCCCACTGAACTCCACTCCCAGCCTCAGTCTTTTTTTTTTTTTTTTTTTTCAGTACTGAGGTTTGAATTCACCTCCTTGAGCTTGATAGACAGGCAGGTGCTGTACTACTTGAGCCATGCTACCAACCCCAAGTCAATTTTGAATGACAGAAATTCAAGTAACTTTCAACACTTCTTGCCTCTTTTCTACACATACACTTTTCTTTTAGTATTATTTATAATTGGCAAATAGAGATGAACAGAGGAAAAGGCAAATGAAACTGAGTTATTATTTAATCTACTACCCATATATACCACATAGATATCCTTTTGATAATTTGACTAGAAATTCCAGTCATGTGACCATATCATTGCCACAAATACAGCAACATTCTCAAATATGAGAAAACAAAGGAGTTTTCTAAACACCAATCCTTAGCTTATAAAGCCAAGACATCTGTAATGTATCACAAGAGATTCAAAACCCAGAGAAAAGAAACCCACATAGTTCACTTTTTTTTCTTTTGGCTTCAGAGGTTACATCAACTTCCTCTGTAAGGACATTGAAATTGGAAGTATGGAATATTTTACATGAAACATAAATATAAATTTCATTAGGGTTATAAAGACATCGATTCAGGGAAGTGTTTATGGTTATTCTGCTAGTTACACCAAGGAGATTTATGATGGAGCAAATTCCAGCAACCCCAAGAAGGCAGCAGCAGCTGAAGTTTCCAGTGCATATTTCATGTGGATTCCTGCCAGCAGATGGGAATATTATAATTCTAACTAAGTATTTTACTCTTTGTATGAACACACAAAGAGCCTCTGTGGCACTCTCCCTCCAGGATTGGCACATCCTCTACTGACCAAGAATGTTTATATGGTGCTTCAGAGTCCTTGCCTTGGTGGAGTGGGGCTTTATTCACTCGATCATGTCATTTCTGACATTCTTGAAGAGAGCCTTGTTCAGTCCATCTCTTTCTGCGTCATAGCCTTCATTGGAATTTCAACAAAGAAAGCAAATGTTAGAATCAGTTGAAATGCTTAATCTTGACCACATTAATGAAAAAGAATCTAATTCAGATTATTTTGTATTAAAACGTCATATTAGCATTTAAAAATATTCAAAAGTCACCATGAGGTAGAAATAGTCTCAAAATTGTGTGCTCAAATTTGTGTGTTAACAATTTTTACCATATCCTTGAACTACCTACCTTATTTCCTTAATTTTCAATTGACTCTTTTTTTTTTTTTTACTTAACCACTTGTATTTATATGGGAAAATAAATTCATTATTGTGAAGTTAAACTATAGCTATTGTTATAAAACAGAGGTGAAAACTGAAAATAGGTACAATGTAAACATTTTTTCTGAATTCTGCCTATGCTGTGTTGGCTTCTCACATCTGCAAGCCTGAGTCCTTCATTATCTTTTTAAAAAGGAAGAGTGATAAAGTATTAGAGGCAGAGGATATACAAGGAAGATTTTATTCTCTGATGTAAAATAATTAAAAAGAGAATGACTTCTTCGTGTCCTGGACTATCTAAGATCATTCACATAAAATCAACAGTTTCTTATTCTTTGGGAAACTGCTATAGTAAACATTCTCAGGCTTTTGATCTGATATATTAGAAAATCACATTTTGTTTACTGTAAGAAAGATTGGTGCCACTGTCAGGTCTGTCATCTACCTTATTCAGCCATTTTAACTCTGGGCTCTCATATTTTAGTTAGTTATCAAAGTTAGAGACTGAGATTGTTTGCCAATCACATAAATTGCCTCAGTGGATCAATAAAATTTATTCTGACTTTTGTAAAATGTTCCTATTTTTCTGTGAAGTTCTCTCCATTATTTTCAATAGGACTTTTATCTGATGCCTGAGACTATAAAGTCTTTTAAACTATTGTTTACAAACAGATATTTCAGGATTTCCTGGACCATCTTAGGTATTTCCCCAACTAATGAACTGTTAAGCCTTTTCAGTTACATTCCCAGGAAAACTCCTGAATAATTGTGATTTCCACCCCAAATCATATCAGATATCCTTGAAATAGCACTTTGCTACTCAATAGAAACTTTCATGAGGCTGGCACAGCAACCCAAGTAAGGAGTTAACTCTACTTAGTCCCTATTGTTCTGAAAATCTAGTTTGTAACTACAAATTCCAATGTTCCTTCCAGTTTCCTCACATTTGCTTAGCTTTTCAAATTAGAGTCACTCGCCCAGCAATTACTCTAGCTTTGTATACCAAAAGACATAAAGACATTGTGTTTGGAGGCTGTGTGAGGGGCCTCCTGTCATATCATGCCACTGTCATATCTTCCTCATCCAGTTCAAAGAAGTAATCCCAAATCTAGAATAAAATTTAGGCTGGATTTTGACATCTTTCTTTTGAAATACACACATTCAAACCCATCATTTCACACTTTGAAGACAGTGTGTAAATAAAGTAGTGTCATTTCAGTACACTCTAGGAAACTCTCAAAAGTTCTTTATGAAATTCAAAGAAAGAAAAATTAATTGGAAAGAGACCTACAGAAAGAAACACTGTGTGATACCATATCAGTAATGGCAGGCAGCAATTTCCACTTTGAAGTTCTACATGGCTGGAAGTGTTATCTAATTGGAAAGCAAATATATTCTTTTATTATTATTATTATTATTCATTTATTCACATGTGCATACATTGTTTGGGTCATTTCCCCCCCCACTCTCTCCCACCTGCTCCCCTCTTCCCTCTTCAGTTCCAGGCAGGTCCTGTTCTGCCTTTATCACTAGTTTTGTTGAAGAAAAGTGACAAGCATAATAAGGAAGACAAAGTGTTTTTGCTAGTTGAGTTGAGGATAGCTATCCAGAAATAATCCTAGCATTGCTTTCATGTACATGTGTTATGACCCATGTTGATTCATCTCTAACTGATCTTTACCTTGGTTACTGATCCCCTTCTCATGATAACCTCTGTAGCTTTAAGGTTTCTGTATTAGCTCCTCTGGAGTGGGGACATCAAATGCTTTCATGTTTTGGGTTTTCTACCTATTTCTATATCACCCATATGTGCTCTCCCCTTGTCATGTGATCCAAGTCCAACCACATTGCTGCATTTGTCCTAGATCTAAAGTCCACATATGAGGGAGAACAGATGATTTTTGGTCTTCTGAGCTTGGCTGACATTGCTCGGAATGATGTTCTCCAGTTCCATCCATTTACCTGCAAATGATAAGATTTTATGGCTGAGTAAAATTCCATTGTGTACAAGTACCACATTTCCAAGAAATGTCTGTCAAGAATTCTTTTGGCCTGCATGTCATAGTTAGAACAATGCATACATGTTTGGAACTCTCTGGAATGCATGAAGCTTTGGGAATAGCTTCAATACTGAAATATGATGCATGTTTTACATCTATTGAAGAAGATAACGAGGCTGCTGTGATGACTTGGAAAGCCTATATTCATGAGTGTCAGCTGCCTTTCCTCCAATGGCAATGTTTAAGCCAATTAATTGCCACAATCCAAAACCCTTCTCACCAACACTTCAATGGATATTTTAAACTTCTCTGATGGCTCATGCTTGGATATAGCTCATGATTACTTGTGACTATACTACTCAAAAAATTTAAATGAGTAACAGGTAGACTCTGCTGACTAGATTTTAGATGTTTATAAAATATGTAACTTTGAGGCTTTTAAAGAGACACTACTTGATAATTATCCAAGGTACAAGAGAATCTGTAATATAAGATACTTGGTTACTTGGGAAATTCACCTATTTTATCTGCTATAAGCAATACAACACTAGAAAGTACTCTCTAGGCTATCTCATTTATATAAAAAAAACCAGAATAGTGTGGCAGCTGACAGTTGAAATTTAAGAAACTGTCTTAAATATTTGGATGCATCCATAAAATGTCAGAAATGTTAGTGGTTACAACACCGATTTCTAGTATTTTGCAATATTTTCCTAAGCAAAGGAACCAATAGTACTTAGAATAAAAAACATGCTTTAGGGCTCCATCTAGTGGTAGCCTTTTAAGTAGTCTACTGGCATCTGTGAATATTCATAGAATATCCCCAGGATCCTAACTGAACTCTTGGGCCTCTATAGTTTGAATTTTCTCTTAGTCATTCAGAACATCCATGATTTGATATGATGACATCTATAGTGTAGAAGCGTGTTTTTTTTTAGGGGGATTGAATTATTATCAATAGTTTTTATATGTTTTTCTAAATACTTTTCATTCAGAACCTGTTTTAAAGGAATATAAAATCAAGACCATTAAAATACCTGAAGAGTTTTCAAAGTTTGTATTATCAAATTAAATTCACTTGTCCTCAGACTTAAGCCACTTTTATATATTTATATTATTATATCCAGGAGCACCAATTTCTGTTTCTCTGACATGAGACTGACTCCTTTACTGGAAAGACATTCCTTTAGCAATGGGACTGGAATTCACATTTTGGTAGAGGTGGAAGTTCCCAGAAGCATAACTTTTGTATTTTTTTTCTGCCACCCTACAATTTTCATTAAAACAACATTATTTTGGTTACATATTTCTATATTTTTCTGCATATTTTACTTAAGAGGTACCTTAAAAAGCATGAAAAAGTTTACTGATAACAACAGTATGACAGGGTCTCACTAAGTAGCCCAGCTGGCTTGAATTCTCTATGTGGTCCAGACTAGCCTTGAACTCTCAATCCTCCTGTCTCAACCTGAAGACTGGGATGATAGGTTTCACCACATTTGACTTAACTTTTTATATTTCAGAAGGATATTTTTCTCATCAGGTACTTTAAGTGCCCTATGGCACAGGTAGAGAGATTTAGCAAACCCTTACTAGTGAGTTCAACTTTCATGGAAAAAAAAATTAGACAACTTTAAAGATTGCCCCCAGAAGAGGACAATTCTTTCACAATATGGTTTTCCTGTCCAGCATCTCATTCAACATTTTACATCCCAAATTCTTTTCATTCTTTATAATGCACAAAGGCATAATTTTCTTTTTTAAATAAATCAAATTAAACATGGAATAATTTCCTATATACTAGGTATAAGAAATCTATACAATTAAAAAAATAGCATGAAAATGTTATGAAGGTCACATACAAGTGGTAATTTAGAAGCAATGATTTGTCATAAGATAAACTAATTTATAACTATTTCTAAGGAGTTGCAAAGGTCAGTAATTTAACATCAAAATATCTCAAAAATGTTCTGTGCCTACACAGAAGGTATTTGTTTTAACTTGTATAAAATTATGTGATTGTAAATTTATATTGTTTGATATGATTATAAAATATGATTAATGAATTAATTCTGTTTCCAATGGACAGATGGAATTACATATAGAATATCTGTAGTGATTCAAAACATACTTCATCACCCTGAAGTAAAAGTCCAGAGCAAGGTGGCAGAGTGGGTAAGTGAACTTATAAAATTTTTCATTTTTATTTTAAATCTTTAACTTCTGGAAATCTTGAAAAATTCAGAATGAATTCACAGATCTTACTAAAACAGGGATACTGTTCCTTATACATATATGAATAGTTATATAATATAGATATGATCTAGACATATAATAATTATATATAAAAGGCCTTGTGCTTATGTGTAGGAAGAAAGGTACATTTGAATATAGGATACAGAAATGAGCCTAATAGACCATCAAGGTCTTAAATTTAAAAAATCACACAAATGGAAATAGATTTATGTGTTTTTAACTTACTATTAGGTTTTCAGTTCTGTTTTTAAAATAGATTTCTTCTTTTTCTTTGAATATTTGATCAAAACCAAAAAGCATAAAACAGTGCATCACAGAAGTCTTCTGCTCCTCTTTGCTGCTCCCCTGTCTAGAGAACAACACACTCAGTGTCTTTTGTCCAGACTTCTCTGTGCACATTACAGTATAGATTCTTGTTTTCCTTTCTTTTTCCTCTAAAGTACCACATTTTGTATACATACTGAATCTGTTTTCGTTGTTACCAGACATATTTTCTTCTTTTCCATACCAATCTCAAAACTTTTCTTTTTTGTAGGTTTCTGATTTTTCTATTATTTCAGTTGCTACCTACAACATGCTATGAGACTTCCTATTTCTTTTTGTATATAATGCAGTACAACTCAAACTTCAGGGTTTTATGGAAATAGTCATTAGTGTATACATTCAGAAGAAAATGTAGCAAAAGATAGTTAAACCATACATTGAGAGGTAATGGTGACATATTTGAAGACTATCTGAGAGAATATCAATGACACTATAGTATAAAACAAGTTGACTACTACAGAAAACAAGAGTATACAATCAACTCAGTTACAAAATTAAGGTAGGAAGTGAAATTCTTTAATAGAAGTTAAAGAAAATGTTAGTACTGACCTTTTAGAACAACACATGTGTAACTACTTGAAGCACAAGAAGGTGTGTTTAATTTCTAGATGGAGAGTGGACTTTACGAAAAAGTATATTCTTGCATCCTGTTTTCTTTCCAGAATGTTCTTTTTGTTTTTTCAAAGGCTGAATGATTTCAAAATGTAAAACATTTATTTTCATTCTCAAGCCACTTACAATGTTATTAATCCAGAAAATCAGTATTCACTAGAAGGTCTGTGCTAGACAAGGTGTAGTTTTACATTTTGTTTACTTCCTGTGCGATTTTCAACATAGCATCATTTTCATCTGATCTAAGCTTTTTCAGACACTTTTGGTTTAAGATACAAACTATCAAAGCAGATAACTGAAAATCAAAATTATAAGTGGTATTCCTGATTCGATTTATATTACAGGTTGAGCAACTCTAACCTGAAAATTCAGAATCTTAAATGGGATTAAAGATGCTCAATGAGTGCAGCCTATGCAAATATCCCAAAATCAGAAAAAATGAGAAATCTAAAACACTTTTTTGTCTCAACCACATCAGATCAATCATGCTTTAACCTGTTTACAATAAAAGCTACTAACAATAAAATATCCTATTTTGCCAACATTTCCTGACATTTACGTTAAATTTTTGTGCTACTATGAGGAAGGCTAAATGTGTATATGAAACAAGACCTAAATAACCCTTCACAGGTGATTTAAAAATAGAAGACTCTCATGTCAGTGAAGAAATCTTTTTTTGCAGTCCTGTGTTGTATGCTGCATTGTAAAGCTTACTCTTTACAGTGAAGGGAATCTATTGCATTATTTAAAAAAATCAGTGACAAATGTTAAATAACCACACAAAAATTAACATAGTCCCAGTAATGTTGAACTTATTTTTATCGGTTTTTGAGAGATTTATATGGCTAATTTATAATTTTTCTTATTACTGACATTCTTATGAGATTATAAATACTAGGAAACATGTTTGATTGCCACTCAGTATTAATTAAATGAAGAATATGGAAGGTGTTTATTGTGGGTATCTTCTTATTATAAATAAGGAGGTGCAGTTGGGAGAGACAGTGCCTACTTCATTGATCATTGTAAGGATTAGAAGAGATGACAGCAAATTTTTGGCAAATGATAATCCAGCAAATATTACCTTTCTCTTTCTCTACTTCAGTTCTCCAGGATTTTCCCAGGGTCTTATCCCAATAACAATTTATCTTTTGGGAAATAAGAAAACTTGATTCATTTTTTTTGAGTAACATCAAAATTCTGCCTTTTTCATTTTGTTTTTCAGCTCAATTCCACCTTCCAGAATTGGAACTACACTGTTTATGTGATTAATATCAGGTAAATGACAGAATGAATTATTTGAGAGATAAAAACTAATGTCTAATTTGATGTAACTCATTGCTTCCCCTCTCACTATTCCTAAAATAAACTGTGTATGTGTGTGCGCATACATAACTGAATCCATATAGTAAGTGTTGTAATGTGTCAAAATTAGAAAAGGATCATTAGAGACAGACCATCTGTTATTTTCATATCCAAGTGAATCTTTGGAGACCACTTTTTTCTGTAAGATATAAGACATCAGCAGTCAGATTGCAGCCTAGTTTTTCAAAATGACTTTTCACTGCTTTTCTATTTTAATCCTCCATTAAATCCCCAACAAATAGTATTGTCCATATGTCCTCCTGTGTACCTTGTTTCACAGTTTTATACTTGAAGTAGTTTTCTACAGTGCAGTATATGACTCTTAAGCATATGTTCTGTGAACAAGAGATGTAGGGATCGAATTATCAAATAAGTTCAGGAAGTACATTATTCAGTAAACCGAAGCATGATCTTAGAACAACTCAGGTTCTCTGGTCTACTGATATGCACTGTGAATCTCCAAAAGATCAAGAACATACAGTTGTCCAGTTTTATGAAAGTATCAAGAATCTCGGAACATGTTTGAAATTTCTGCCTCTTTCTTTCATCATTCTTAGTTTTGCAGTTGATGATACAGTGGGTGAAATTGATGATTAACATATGTATCTGTATTTTCAGTTTTCATCTGAGTACAGGAGAGGACAAGATTAAGGTCAAGAGAAGCATTGTGGATGATGAAAGGTAACATAGACAAAGCCTTCTGGGAAGTGTGATATTCTTTCTCTTGATCACTGCTGCGAATGTCTGGGAGAGAAATGAAAGCAATCAGATAGGAGAAAAAAACTTTAATTGCCTATTACATTTAAATTATTTCTTCAGCTTCCATGTTCATTTTTTTCTTATATTTAAAACTGCAGTAGAGCAGACTAAGAAGAGATGTAAGTCTGATTCAGAAGTAGAGCATTCAACATGGATGAATCATTACTTTTAGTATTTCCAGTTTACTTATGACTACCCATTTCCTCTTATTTGAAATTTCAAAGAGATTTCCAAAGGAAATAACCTTAGGGCTGGAGTAGAGCACTTGCCTCCTTACAGGCCCTAGGTTCCATCTACAGAACCACCAAAAAAATAACTTTAAGTGAAATGTTTATTATATGTGATAGTCTATAGTATGGATAATATGTGCCAAAACATTTTTAGTATTTGCAGCCATCAATTAGTTTTCTGAATTCTCCATTTTTAAAATGATTTCAAAATCATGACTTACCCACATTGGTAGTTCATTGTTTTTTTTTCTCACCCGGCAAACATTTAACTTATTCCTTAATTTATAGCACCAGCATATATAACCAGCTAGTATACAGGGGCCAACTGTTCAGATTGCTGTAAAATGAAAAACAACCTAAACTCCCTATTGAAAACAATTGCTGTATTCTGATAGTATATTTCATTTTGCATAGAATTTTTTCATTTATTTTTATTATTGTTATACTGGGGGTACAATGTGATATTTACAAAAGTTCTTATAATATATCATATTGAATGCACCCCTCCATCATTCTCCTTTATTCCCCTCCCCCCATTCCTGGAATAGTTTTAACAAGTCTCATTTTTCCATTCTCATACATGGGTACGTAATATTTCCACCACATTCACCTCCTACACCCTCTCCTTATCTCCTCCCCCTCCTACTAGTACATGCCCCCCAAATTAGTAGATAAGAAAAGGTTGTTATAAACCTTCTTGAGTTTCAGTAGACTGAATTATGTTACAGATTTAGCATCGTACTGGTAGACTATGCTTCTTTTCAAATGATATATTCTTACTATGAGAAGATATAAATAAAATTTTGTCTGAGAGTTAACCAAACAACTTTCTACTTATTTTTTCTTTTACTATTTAACAGAAAAACTAATGTTTTTAAACTTATATTTAAACTCATCATTTCTGTATAAATTCAATAGACTGGTTTAACCCCTCTGATAAGAGAGGTTTTTTAAATTTTCTGACATTGTTCCTTTTCCTTTATGATTTGAAAAAAGAGTAATGCATTTTAGTATAGCAACAGAACTTTTTTCTTCTTCTTACCCAAATAGTCTTTTCCAGTCCTTACTGTTAGTTCATATTGACCCTTCAATAATGAGTCCAGCAGGAGTCTGGATTTCTTTACTGGGCATTTTGTCTAGCATTTCAGACAATTCTAACTTAGGGAATGACCAATGCTAGACCCTCTTCAGAAAGCCAGCATTCCTTTTTTAGCTTATTTACTGTGGTTCTGCTAATAACCTGTTAGTATCAGTCTGTCAGCACCTCAGAAACTCTTGCTTGAAAGACACTTAAATTCATAGTATCTCAGTTTCCTGGTCTGTCAAACCAATGTATAATGTTACAGAAAATTATAGGGAGAATGAACTTAAGATGATGCATATGGGAAAAGCCACGTATTTCTTTAATGTGAATTCCTGGCATCATTTTAATTATTTTTATAGCCTCCCTCACCCCTTTTTTCCCCTATTCATTGTTGCTCTTGTGCTCATTGTAGAGGTTTTATAGTCCCATAGTTTCCTTCCAAACCACAATCTACTAGTTTTACACACATTTCTTTTTTTCCCAAACTTTTCCTTTCAATTTGATCATATCACCATAGCTTCAGATAATGCTGCCACGCTCTATCGCCTAGATCGGGAGGAACCCAAAGCCACAGACTGACTTATTTATATAAAGAACAATCATGGCAATGAAAAATAAAACTTGACAGTGTAGAACCATATAGTAGTTTCAGTTTTCAGGATGAGAGAGGAAAACAACACAGATAAGACCTGTGAAAACCCATGGTTATTCCTGAATGGCTGGTTTGTGTATTCAATACTGTCCACCACCAATACATTGTGTTAATGATGTCCTCTACATTCAAGAGATGTGAACTATCACATTCCCAACTGTACGTTCTCAGTAACTGGAGTGGAAGAGCTTATCTTCAAACAATAGTTTAATCAAGGGATATTTTTTCATAAGCTATTTAAAAGTTATTAAGATATCAGAGCTCATCATTATATTCACATCTACATTTGCCTCACCCTGAAATATGGCATAATATGAGTGTTAAGCTGTAGACCATTTTAGAGATACATAGCTTTTCAGAGTAAATTATGAGAACAGTACAGTACTTTGTCCTTGAGATTAGCATAGCTATTTAATGAGGAAAAGTAGAGTTATTTCACCTAATGTTGGTAGCAAATATTTAACCTATTTCTAAATTTTTAGCACCACAAATATGCTGGTATTCTAATTTCTACTCATATTCACAGAACTTCATAAGTGTAATATGCCACTGCCTCTCTGCTGAGTACCCTGTGGTTACATGCCTACTCTGTCTTAAGCATGTGGGCCGAAGCTAATCTTGGTAATATAATGTTCTCATTGCTCTTCAAAATATGAACAAGGTGAAAGGTTTGTTGCAAATGCAGAACTTTTATATGTAAGGGAAATTTTTCTTCTCTACCTGGCAAAACAGGTCATTTAGTTTTACCCCAATGTTGATTTGTGGTTTTGATTTTTGCTGTTGATTGTAACTGTGATTATAGTTGAACAGAAAATTACTCTAAATTGTAAAGCCCAAAGTTTTGACGAGACTCTAAAAAATCCATCTCTGTGCATCCCATAAAGATATTTTCTTTTTAAATATCTTCAAAGTTGGACATTCTAAAACCCGTAATATGCTGGCCAAAGACTATATTTGGGGTGTGTATTTTATAAATTTTCACTATATAAAGTACTTGTAAATGTTTCTTGGAGATGAGCAATTTTTTTCTCTTATTTGGAGTTGTACTATATTTGTAAAAAATAACACTTAATAATTTGAAAAGTTAAATATCAGTTGAAATTCTAATTTTTCTTTAATAACTTAATTTTTTCCCATAAAGAAACAACATAGAATTAATCTTACATAGAATTGGCCCTTTCTTGTTTATATGTCATAAAATATTATGACATAATATGTAAAATAATACTGATATTAAATGTTAAAATATTTCTGAAAAGAAATGGGATGAGATGATAAAATTATAATGAAATAGCTATAAAATCTATCTGTTCATGTTGAAATACTTTTAACATAGTAACTCACACAGCAGCAGAGAAAGTCTATGAGTGCCTTGACTAATCTTTTCAGTCAACACTTCATGGTCATTCATGTTCTATTTTTCTAACCCTCAAAACCCACCAATCAGTCAACAGCCCCAACAATAATTCTGTCTGAAATGTTTTCCTAGGTTGGTGATTTGGGCCCTTCTAGTTTACAATGCTAGCAACAATGTCAACTTAGAGGGAAAAACCATTCAGCAGAAGCTTTTAAAAAATAATGAGACCCTGGATAAAGGCTTGAGGCTATATACAGTGAATGTGAGGCAACTGGGTAAGTGACTTCAGCTTTTCTTACCACTATGTATGGTTACATACCAGTTTTAATTCAAAACCATCAGAAATGCTCTTCATTAATGTGTTATTTGTTTATGTAATTTTTTTTCTGATAATGAAATGTGCTGTATTGGAGACTGTAACAGATGGGTAGCATAGCAAAAAAAATAATAATCTCACTATCTATGAATCTAAGGGAATGAAGGAGGTGGATGAGAGTTTATTTTATCTTGGGGACATATGGAAATACTAAGAACATGAGTAAAATTCCCACATAACCTTGACCACCTTTGGCTTCACATTAGGGATAAAACAGAGTGTGTATATGTACACATGGGAATGCTAATGAGGTAACTATTCGGAGAACTTTCTTATTCTAAAGCATGTCTGTCTCTTTCGTTCCCTGTTTCCATTAATGATATCACTATCTTTGTCAGAATAAGACAGGATTCTGGGAGTTCTCTTGGACCGAGAATCAATTCTCACCTACCATCTTGAGCTCCAACTACACGTGTTTGGGACTGCCTGCATATCTCTAAACATTCCTGCTCTCCTTGGACAGCTCCTGTCTGTCTTTGTCCATGCGTGCTGTGCTGTTCACTGTGCACCTGTTTACTACCTGCATATTTTTAAAGATAGCCACAAAATCACCTCTTCTGTGAAGTCTTTTTTGACATCATCTTATATAAATACACATTACCACACTTCGTGCTGTCCAGAGACCTACAGCATCATACGCATTAGAGAACTACAGTCTTTTCTTGGTCTTCTCTATGATATTACATACATTTTTAAATAGTAATCTGATTGAAAACACATCTTATTTTTAATACCCTTTACCCAACACATTCCCTAGTACTTGAATACTTGTTAAATAAATGAATAAGTGGATCTTGCTAAGAATGTTCAAAACTATCAATAATTGTTCTATTTGTTTTTCAGTACTGGGGATTAAAATTAAATTCAGGCTTGTGCTTACCTAGTAAGCACTCTACCATTTGAATCATACCCTAGTCTCCATTCTAATGTTATTATGTGAACACAAATGTATTATGACTAGGTGCTTTAGTAGAAACCAAGAGAACACTTTGACACTTTACCTCCTATGTGTTACTGGGAGGCTAACCTGGGGGAACGTGCCCTTCAGCCTTTGAGAGAGTACATAGGACTAAGGCCAGATCACAGTATGGTAAAGGAGTAGGCACCTCTGACTCTATGAGCAACTGCCCATCACTACTCTGTCAACATACATAATTCCAGAGAGCTCAGAGAGGTAAACAAATGCAAAGAACAGTAACAGTAATAATGATAATAAGAAGTGTCTTCTGAGCCCCTGAGGGAAAGTACCTGCTTCCTAACAAACAGGGCTTCTTGGATGGGTGTTGCCCTTCTATCACAGAAATCTCCGTAAAGAAGTAGTGTGACAAATAGCAGGTGACATCCCAAAGGACCCTGGGTAGACCATTCTCATTTGTCCGCAAATGCTAGAGAATCTCAGGATACCTGGGCACTTAATTTTTACCATTTAATTTAAATTCTGTACATTGTTATTTTTCTGCAAGTGGGTGTGTGGACAAAAGTTTTTCACCATTTGAAATACAAGGCTAAAACCTGATGGTTAAAGTTTAGACTATAGATGGGAAAGTCCTTTGAATTTTTAGTTGGTGACTACAATGTTGGTTCCCAGAATTCCCAATAACTTGCTGTTTTTCAATACTGAAATACAAGATTTTATTATTGTTAATAACATTTTTGTTACTTTGATACTTCTCAAAATGTAAAATCTGAATAATTTAAGTCATAAAATTACCAGTATGTTTTCAAACAAAAAATGGAATGATTGGGATAAAAGAGTGAGGGTAAGACCAGGTGGCGTTGACTTATGGGAACCATTGTGCTATTTTCCCAGTAATCTTCCAGGCCTTTTAGATCAGAGCAGCTAGAAAATATCCCATAAAATATGCTCACAACTCAACAGTGACACTAATGATGCATTGTTTTTCTAGGCTTTCCCCTTTTTGAAAAAATCAAATTACAATTTGAATTTTCAGTTTTTATAGTGTTTATTTTTTGAATGAAACTTACCATTATCTATCTGCTAATGATTTCAATGAATGATAAAAGATATTTCATGTTTATGTATACTCATGCTAAGTGTGTTTTTATTTATAAGATGGTTTTGTAAGATGGAACAGTTTCTGCATCTGAAATGTATTGAGCTAATTCTTCCTAATTTCTAAGGTTTTGCAAGTTTTGACTATAATATACTAGATTTTAGTGTAACATGAAACAGATACCTAATTGTCCAGAGGACTGTCATTTTGCTTTCACCCTGCACATTTGATGTCAAAGAATGAACTAAAATTTCTCATGTTAGTTCTTATTTTCTCACAGGTATGTGTCCTGCTGAGGAAAATCCCAAAGGCTTTCACTGGCCAGCCATCCCACCTTCGGAATACAGCCATCCGTGTCCAGACAGGCCTGGCTTTTTTGTTTCACGAACATGGTAATATTTTCATTGACTTACCAACCGTGCTCTGTTATCTACCTTTAAGGGGTTATACGTGCTGCACAGTACTCATGCATTGTGCTTACTGAGATTAGGACAGGAATCTCTGTATATATCTAAATCATATACATCTGGGTGATAGAGATAAGATAAGTAGGTTACCCAGAAAAGCAGTGCTTTCCTCCCAGCAACATGCAAATTGAGCCCTCTCCTAAGAAAGATTGAAGAATCTGGAAAACAGAGGCTGGCTCCAGAGCAAACCACCTTGTATGTGGATGAATGTAACCACCCCACATATACTTAAAACCCCAAGACTTCTTACCTATTTGGAGAGGAGAGGAAGCATCAAAGATGCAATAAAGACAAGATCCAGGTTGGGCCAGTCTGCTGACAGAAGCTGGATTTTCCCTGAATGACAAAAAAGCACAGACAAGACAATTGCAGGGATTCAGCAAAGAGCAAGTCACATCTAGTTCTTCACCCTCTACCTCACTCACTGATAGAGATTTCTTGGAGGGAATGCAGAAATGAAAACTGCCTAAGAGTAAATGTTTTGCATCCAGGGCTGTGTTTCACAGTTGGAAGGGAGGAAAGAAGAGGGCTTTAGGGATTTATGGACTGGAGTTTGAAATGTGGCCCTACCTCTTTCTGGCTGAAAAGCTTAGAAAATTTTTTGGGTTATCTAGATGCATTTCTTCATCTATAAATGTGGATTGTAATCCAATTTCCAGAAATAATGTGAAATCAGATTTTACCTGTAAATTCCTGAAAATAGTATTGATCAGTGTATGCTATACTAGATTCGAATATAAGATATTGTTGGTGTTTTTGTTCTGTGATGTAAGCTACTGACTTTTTTCCAATAAGGATCTTTGGTATGAGTTTTATTTCAATCTTATTTTCAAATGGAACTTAACCTATATATCAAGGAAAATTCTCGAGGTTATTAACTGACTGTGTCAGTTACCATCTTATGTTTGCTAAGTATTTGAAATAATTTTGTTTGTTTGTTTTGTAGTTATCTCAATTCTTCTGATAGTTCATCAACTTGGGGGCATCTAGATATCTCCAACTGTTCAAGTAAGTGAGCAGTTTCTTTTCAGTTCACAAAGACAAAATAAAATGACCTCAAGTGTCATGTTTTTTTTTTTCCTCTTCAGACTATATGATACTATTTTAATATTAAAAGTTAGGCAAGTGGTTATTTCACTTAAGGTAGAAAAATAATTTTTACTCTCATTCTAACTTTCTATTCTCTTCACTCTTAGGAGGTTAAAAATAGTAAGGAAATTGAAGAGAAGACTTAAAATACATAAGTTGCCATGTATATCAGTGTTTTACTATTTTGTGTTATTTTCAAATAGCAATTAAGTACTTATTCAGTGATCCTGGGGGAATTTCTGTTTGAATAATATGTGAACAATGCTCTCTCCAAGTTATTTGTAACTTACTAAAGATAGAAGTTAGTCTTTGTGTATAAAAAACATTGTTACACTGGGGCCAGGTGCGGTGACTCTAGGCTGTAATCCTAGCTATGTAAGGGGCGAAGACAAAGAAGATGTGGTTCAAGGACAATCCAAGCAAAAAGTTTGTGAGACCCCCCCCCCCCATGTCAACCAATGGCTGGGCATGATGGTGCTTGCCAATCATTCCAGCTGCACCAGGAAGCACAAATAAGAGTATCACAGTGCAGGCTGGCTTGGGCATAAAGTGAGACCCCATCTCAGAAGGAGCTGCACTTTCATTCTTCAACTTTAAAGTGAAATAACACATTATACTTTGCATTCCTGAAAATGTTCAAAATTTACAAGTAAGTTTCTTGTGTTGTTTCTTCTGTCTTTTCTTAGGGGAAGCAAATGAAGTTGCCAATGATATTTTAACTTTTTCTTCTGATAAAGACAACTTTGACTCAGCTAATATTAGCCTTATTGTAGAACAGGTCAAAAGAATTGTGAATAAAGAAGAAAATATTGATATAGAACTTGGCTCAACTCTAATGAATATATTTTCTAACATCTTAAGCAGTTCAGATAGTGACTTGCTTGAGTCTTCTTCTGAGTAAGTAGCTTCGTTTTCTTTTCTGGAGATAATGTGTTGTTATATGGCCTCTTAACTTCTGAATGCTTTGTGCCCAGACTTCATAATCCAAATCTCTAGGTTCCCAAGATTATTCACAAAGTGAACTTCTAAGGTCCTTATTTTTTTTTGAGAAATATAATTTACAAAAGGATTAGAATTGTTACCTGGCAAAGCACAACCAATTTGTCATAATTAATACACATTTTTCTGAAAAATTTTAAGTTTAGTTACCCAGAGTTATGTATAATGTAGTCACTATAAATCCATTATCCTATGATCTGTGCCACCAACTGCTACAGTTGTGTGCACTTCTAAAAAGAAAATGGAAAATGCCTCGGGCAGGTGAAAATTAACTATTTTTATAGAATACAGTTTGTATCCAATTATGACACTTAATATTAACCTTAAGGTATTTAATTTTTCTATTCCTTTTCTTTCAGTCACATTTCTTTGATGAAAATTTAATATCTGTTAAATGTGTTCTCTAAGTTACTTTATCTCCATCATAATAATTGCAAACCCTTTGCAGTCTAGTAACAGTAACTCACATTATTTTCTTTGATTCTCACCACATTATAATATGGAAGAGTATTTTTGTGTGTATGAGGAAAGAAGAGGTGTTAAAAATGAAAACCAGTATTGATTTTGGATGATTTAGTTGTTGATTTTCCTTAAAAGCAGAAATTTCTTTTAAGGATGCATCTATCACTGTGATTCTATGTTTTAACTGATATTATTATGCTTCACGGTTATTTTCTAGACATTTACATTAAGATCAGAAGTCTTAAAGATAATTTTATTTGGTGTATATGTGCTATGCAACAAAACATGTGTACCTAAAATATTATGTTACTTAACAGTGGTATTACTGTCATTTCTTTAGAGCTTTAAAAACAATTGATGAATTGGCCTTCAAGATAGACCTAAATAGCACAACGCATGTGAATATTGCAACTCAGAATTTGGCTCTTGGAGTATCATCCCTGATCCCAGGGACAAATGCAATTTCAAATTTTAGCATTGGTCTTCCCAGCAATAATGAATCATATTTCCAGGTAATGTGCCAGTGCTTGCTTTTATTTTATTTAATTAATTAGACAAATGCAAGTCATTGATCACTTAATAGTTGCTAATTCAAGAAAATCTTGACAAGCAGGTCTGAACATTTGCTACATTTAATGCCATCAGCAGCTGTGGGTAATGTGGGAGTACAGGGTGGGTGTATATATATATATATATTTTTTTTTGTTTTTGTTTTTTTGTTTTTTTCGTAACCTCCATAGTGGAAGTTGCCTTCTGTAAGAAGGGTTATGGATCTAAGTAATAAAACATGCATAGGAACCGCCATATTGGGAGTGGGGCGAGGATCAGTTCAACAAGAAGAGTTTTTATTAAGGTCCAAAGATGGGAAGAAGCTTAGGGTCCCCTCCTTGTCAGTGGTTCTCAAAATGGGCCTTAGAGTCTTCAGAAGACTCTAGAATTAGAAGCTTGCCCTGCAGCTTCTAATTGAATAGGTCTTGAATAGGGCCCTGAAATTTGCACTCCAAGCACATTCCCAGGTAATGATTATGCACCTGGCCTGAGCATCACACTTCTAGAAACGAGGATGTAAAAGTCTGGGAATGGCAGGCAACAGCAAAGCTGGACAAGTGGACTGGGGCCAGAATAATAGACCGCTACTTGTACTTGTTAAAGTCACACTGCAGCAAACAGTTTTCTAGTGCCTACTGTGTGACAGTCAATGCTGCCCATCAGGGCAAGCAAAACAAAGACAGTGCCATTCCTGACCTGGAGGGGATCTAGGGGGAGCATGGTAGTTTTTACCTTGGAGATGGACCGCACTGAAAATAGAAAAAGCCTGGAATTAGGATACACAGAAGACATTTTTTTTTCTCGTTTAGACCAGGGGCTCTTTGGCTGTATTTACTCATTTTAAGAATGAAAACTCAGTCAGCCTAGTATTATTTCAAGAGTACAAGAAAACTCTCTGTGGCCTGAGCCACAGTTTCAAATGATGTCAGAGTGCTCATAAAACTTCAGCTGTTGCTTCTTTGCAAAAGTAACAAAGTAGCTCAATCTGCAATTAAACAAGTTAATTTCTCTCTCTCCCTCATCCTTCTCCCTAGTTATTGGTGTTCCACTAGTGTTAAAAAAAAAACACTCAAAATGTAATACCACTAAAGCTAATTCTCATACTTGAAAATGCTGACCTATCTGTAGATTTCTCAGTTTGCCTTAGGTTAGAATCAACACAAACCCCAAGGAACAACCTGGCTGTGTCTTCATGGGGGTTATTCAGCAGTTGCAGGGAATGCTGCAGAGGTCCCAGAAACCCTGTCCTAGCCAAGGGTTCTTGCAGTTGTGCTCTGACCTTATTCAGCTTGTAGAGTACATAAATTATCAATATCATGTCATTGTGATTAGTCCACCAATATATCTGTGACAGATGGATTTTGAGAGTGAACAAGTGGATTCATTGGCTTCTGTAATTTTGCCTCCAAATTTACTCGAGAATTTAAGCCAAGAAGATGCTTTATTAGTGAAAAGAGCGCAGTTTACTTTCTTCAACAAAACTGGACTTTTTCAGGTAAGTACTTATTCAATTATTGTTTTTTAATTTCAAATGAAGTTTCTTTGTTCAAAGGTAGAAATAAAAGTTGAGAGTCCTTTGAAATATACCAGAAGATATAGAAAAACCAATCCACTGTATTTTCAAAAAGTAATTAATAGAGTTGTTTAAATATGTTTTTAGATAATGTGCTTATTACCAGGACATCTTCATTCCAGATTTTAAACTAAATAAAAAATTAGGCTAAGACTTTCATGATACAATTAGAAAGTGTTAGTAAAGAAGTTACCATTCATTATTCTGTTTGTTAAATATTTCATGCACTCTAGTCCTCTGAAGTTAAAGCATTTGTGCACCAAAGGAAAGGATTTTTTTTCTTTATTCAGCAGGAAGCACTGTTTACATAATGAGCAGCATTCTTGGCTTTAATCCGTTTTCCCATTAGTATTTCAAGTGACCTTTGGCCCTCACACATCCGCAGGGTAGGGTGGCATTGTGCTAAGTACATATTATCATTTTTATTGGCATCAGTTCTAGATACTAGAAGGTCCCCGCCAATAAACACAGGTGACCTCTGGTTGCCTTTATGAGTACAACCCCATCTAGAGCAGTTTTGCTGAACCCTTTTTAAAACTAAAAATTATCTGTTAAATTCAAGATACCAGGGAATATCAAACAATGTGGCCTACATAAGAGAAAGCTTACGAGTCTCTAAGCCAGTAGAATCATTTCTCTTATGTCCCTCCTATATATCAAGTTTCACCCAGTAGTTTATATAAAGTAAAGATCTAGACATAATGGCACACTCCTATAATCCCAGTACTCTGGAGACTGAGCCAGATGAATTACTAGTTCAAGGCCAGCCTGAGGGTTATAACAGCACACTGACTCAAAACAAAACAAAATACTGTGGAATTGTAGTCAGTAATTAAGTCCAAAATTTTAAAATTTTACCTGAAAATGTTTTAGGAATGGGAAGACTGTATAATGCTTTTGTAATTTATATAAATATAATTTATATTTTTATACAAAAACATGTAAGAAAAAGAAAATGTCTGTTTTCTAGAAATTAAAAAAAAAACATGAAATTACCCTGAAAGAGTTTATAATTATGCACACATACAACTGCACTTATTAAGTTGTTGCAATTGAAGGCTTATAGTAATACAATCTTCAAAAACAATAATAAAATATATAAATGAGTCACAAAACATGAATGATAAAGAGAGGGGGGTCCTGTTCAGAGGACAAGTTGTGCCTCTCAGGAAGGGCTTAGGGAAGCTCATAGAGCAGTAAGAACCAGTCATTGATTTATTTCTTATCTTCATATCATTTTTTCCTTCTCATTAGGCATATCCCAATCAAAGTTGTTACTAGGAAGCATATTTAGGTTTTTTCAAGTAAATTTATAGAATAGTATAAAAATAAAAATAAAGATTCTGTGGTACTCTCCAAACATAGAAGGCAAGATATAAGGGGGCTTTGTTTATTTGTTGTTTGTTTCGTTTTGTTTTGATAAGTACTAGGGTCTGAACTCAGGGCCTTGCATTTGCTAGGCAAGTGCCCTACCACTTGAGCCCCAAACATGAATATTTTAAAGAAAAGGCTGGTATCACGCACCCATAGCCAACCTTTGTTCGATTGTGACTGCCATAAAAAATGAATAAAAAGCTATGTTCTGGGTACTGAGTTTTATTTGGAATTTAAGAAAGTTTACAGTTACTCCAAACAACTGATTTATAAGCTGTAGTATGGAGAGAAATTTGGGAGATTTGACAAGAGGCACAAGAGGAAGGAAAAAAAATAGAGAAGTTACTGGAGAGACAGCCTGTTGGTCTCACTCATTTTTCAGCAGATTCACTGACTTGATTTCCAGCCACGTTACTGCAGTATAGATCTGCAGATGCTGAAGGGCCTACAATCAGAGGAGGCAGAAGTTCTGAGTAGGCCTTTAATCCAGTAGAAGTACATTTAGTAACCATGTCAGGCTGTTTGCATGAATGTAAAAGATGAATTGTTTTTCACTTTTTATAGCATATTTCCTTCTTACTCCTCTAAGGGAAAACAACTTCATCTGTTTCTAGAGTAGAGAAATGACCTAATTGTTTCACAGCTTTTTATGAGTTTCTATTATTTATGGGTTTGCATTGTTTCAGATGTTAGCGGGCTGACATCAGTCACCACAATCAAGAATGGTGTTTTATGAACATTGCCTTATAATACTGACTCACAATGTTCCCTCAGTGTATTTATTATAATAAGGGAAACAGCACAGCTCCTTCAGGAAAGCCAGCAATTGGATGTTATAAACAGGATGTTCTAGAATTGAAGATCTTAAGTGTAAAAATTGCTGACTGTTTGCTTATTTTGGAGCACAAAGCAAAATAAAAGTGTGTACTTCTGACTACGTACTTCTGACTAATGCACGCAGTTTGCTTTTTTTTTTTCTTTAAAAGGATGTAGGACTCCAAAGAAAAACCTTAGTGAGTTATGTGATGGCATGCAGTATTGGAAACATTACTATCCAGGATCTGAAGGATCCTGTTCAAATTAAAATCAAACACACAAGAACTCAGGTAAGCAAATGCTACCAATAGCAATTGAACAGTGCAAAGTATTTCAGAAAATTGTGGGGCCTTTTCTTTCTACATGATGAAAAGTAACAGGCACTTTGGGTGGGGGTAGGGAGAATAAATCTTCCAGAAAGGAAACCAGCTAATCAGGCAGCACTTACCAGTCACTTACGAGGCAGCAGCTGGTAGGAGGGTTCTTCTTTCCTGGGACTCAGTAGTCAGGAAAAGAATGGTAGTGAAGAGGAAGAGGGCTGCTATTTTAAGCAAAGGGTATACATTGCTTCAAATGCATTGGATACAAAAGCAGTTGTACCTTTCTACCACCAGAGAATTTGGTTGTTTCTTTTTATTTTTATTTTTAAAGTCAAAGATAACAGCATCTGGAAAAACCAAGGGGGAAGCAGGGGAGGGTAGACTGATTCTTCACAAGGTTAGAAGTTTCTTAAAATTTTGGCAATGTTGCTTTTCTTGCTTTGTGACCCCTGCTACCATTTGAGCATTTGGAGCAGTTAGCTGGAGGCTCTCATTATCCCTGATGGGCCAGGAACAAGTTTTTCTCATTTTTGAAAGTCACTGTCCTGTCATCTGTTAACCAAGCAGGAGAGCAGATAGGAAGTGAGTAGGCTGAAAAGGGTTAAGGATGGAATTAAGTTATCAAATAACCCACCCTCCTTTGTCATGAACCCTTAGGGACCTCCTTATTCTACCCTTTGGCTTGTTTTGTTTCATTTCATTGCCTTCATCCATAAAGGAGAATTTTCTATGTTTTTCCTGTGGTCTAACATATTTAATGAACTTTAGCATTTTAATCATTTTTAAGTATAAGGCTCAGTAGCATTAAGTATATTCACGTTGTATACAACCCAGCTCCAGAACTTTTCTCTTTCCCAACTGAAACACTCTGTTCCCATGAAACACTCAAACTCTCTTCTCCCCTTCCAGTGTCTCTGGAAACCTCCATTCAATTTTCCATCACTACGGATTTGATTCTATAGCATTTGTCCTTTGGGGACTAGCTTTTACCACTTAGCATAATATTATAGCATTTCTTTCCTTTTTAAGGGCTAGATAATACCCCATTGTATTGTAGCAGGGAAGAGGATCAGAATAAAACAGTCTAGGCCTAAGTCCTGAGAAAGTAGCAGGGAGGTAGGGATGGCATAGCAGAGAGATAAAACCTGAGAAATGTGAACATGAGGAAGGTCACATAGCACCAGGGAAGGGAAAGTCACATAACACCAGGGTAAAGTGGCTAATAAAATTAAATATAACCATATATGGGTTAGACCTTGCTTTTTGCTTATTTAACCTGCTTGCAAGGGTACATAAGGTGAGACTCCTTTGTTCTCAGGGCTCAACCTTTGGACATGAGTCCACTGAGTCTGTGCTGGCACAATAAAAGTTGCTTCCTGCTAATTCACTCAGAAGTCCCATGTCTCAGCTAGCAAACTCCCGCAACAGTATGTACTTACCACATTTTTTGTTTATCCATTCGTCCATCGATGGATACTTGAGTTGCTTCTACTTTTTGGTTACTTTTTGTGAATATTGCTGCTGTGAGCAATGTATGTACAGCTTTCTATTTGAGTCTCTGTTTTCAATTTAAGTTTATACACAGACATAAAGAAAATTTGAAGATGATATGAGGTTACAAGTGTAAAGGGCTTTGCCAAGTACTAAGAATGGTAGTGGATTCAGTATGTAATGATAGATAGATTCAGTATGTATTAAACTACAGAAAATCAGGTAGTGTGGTTCCTCTTGAGGTTATACAGTATGCCCGCCTTATTTGCAGGTTTGTTACATGCAGTTTGACCAAGCAGTCAAATAAAATAATAAGTAAGAAAACAAGAAAATAATTTCAAAACCAAAAGTTTTAAATTTCCACATGCACACAGCTCAGTTGGTGCATGGAAGCTCTCAGTCAACCCTGGATTATTGTCAGTTGTGTTTTGATTGTTGTGTGATCTGCTGAGTGTTTCCTGCCCCTTAATTTTGTGAAAATATGGTATTCCGCCCCAAAATCGAATGATGCCCAAAAAGCAAGTTGAAAATGAATGTACTTGATTCAAGTGATGATGTGAAAACTTGAGATTTATTGGAAGGCAGCATGTCTTTAGCAGAAATTGGGCAGCACTATGGGAAAATGAATCAAGCATCCACAATGTGTGAGATAAAGAGCATGAAATAAGATACAGTTTCTGGTGAGTAATATTAGTATGTATAACAGTAATTTTTGTGACAGTAATGTAGTCACACTTCATGTGGTTTCAAGTTATATATGCTCAGAACTATTGTAAGTATAGTTTAGGTAAATCTGAATAATTTTAGAGTACTAAATTCTGTGCACCTTGAGCATTCATGGCAGTCTTCTTGGAACCACAGGATCTGCTGCAGTGATTTTCACTTGAAGTCTCTGTAGGAAAGATCTCCCAAGACTGCCCAAGGTTCTCAGGTTGTACTTGTGAATCTCATACCTATGTATGTCTTTGTGAAGCCCTTGACGTTTTCATTCTTTTGCCACATTTCAATCATATGGTTTTTAAGTTATTTTAAATTCACAATTTTATTCTTATGTTAATATAGGAAGTGCATCATCCCATCTGTGCCTTCTGGGATCTGAACAAAAACAGTAAGTTTTAAAATACTGATTGTCTTAATATAGATCACAAATGAATTTTAAATGTCAGACATCTAAATTTCCTTTCATTACACCTCAGACCAGAGAGAATCACAATATAAGTAAGGGCAACAGAGCTGTAAAATTTAGTTTAGATAGCTTGGGAAATCAGTTCTAATTTCTGTAACTTTTTAGTCACTGCAAGAAGAAATAGGCATACTTGACTTTTTTTTAAATGAAGCATCCTCTTGGTTTCAGTTATTTATGAAATACATGTGCATCTTACTGCACTTTTAGCTGAATGTAGGCATACACTCTATTTAATTCTTCTAGGATACATCTGAGGAGATTATTTGAAATGCACAAGGCATATAATTTGAAATCCAACTTCCAGACCTCAGATTATAAGACGGTTGAGAAGCATACTAAAGGAAGATAAACACAGGAGTGGCTATAGAGGGACATAAGATTATTTGGGGAAAAACTCAACAGCCTCCAAAATGACATTGAATCATCAAGGCAGACAGGCAAAATTAAGGAACAAACAAATCATTAGGTGTAAGGTGTAGAAATATCTGAGGGGAAATACAAATGATGAAACCTCAGACTCCCTCATTGGAAGTATTGTGGCCAACTCCATTCTGGTACTATGCAGGCTATTTTTCTCATTAAAAAAAAAAAAAAAAGGACCAAAACCTCTTCTTTGTCAATCCTTGTTATAGCTGGCAGGTTTTTTGGTTGTTGTTTGTGTTTTAGTGGCATGATTTTGAAATCCTGATTAACTCATATACACCATTAAAAAGATCACCTGTGTCCTTCATATTATTCAAATAATTGAATCTATGCTGTACCATAAAAGTGAGATAAGATGTATTCAAGCCATTTGTAGTAAGCCACACATGACTGGTATGTACATAAGAGAATATTCTAAGGAAGCAGACCTTCTTTGTTCTCATGTCTTCGTAAACATATAGGATGACCCTAAAGGGGAAACATATTATCTCTGGAGAATTTAGTAGCATGCAGTATATTTGAAAAGGAGTACTTGTTTTACAAAGTCTATTTTAAAATATATTGAAAAATTATATGAATGAAGCATTTGCAGAACTCTTGAGCTACTTTGATAGAACACAGTTTGAAACCACTAACTAAATAATCTCTAACTACCCACCCAATACTAATGCTTTGTGACTCCAGGGTCTGCATTAGTCTCTGTATTGGCAGCTTTAAGAATGATACCTATTTTACGACAAACTTTGTAAGGAGAAGAAACCAAGGGAAATCTCCCTAAAGAAGGTCTCATCCCTTACAGAGAAGAGACTGACCTGCTGTTTCTTTCAACTCTGTTTTGATTCCTCCTGCAGAAAGTTTCGGAGGATGGAACACATCAGGATGTGTTGCACACAGAGATTCAGACGCGAGCGAGACAATCTGCCTTTGTAACCACTTCACACACTTTGGAGTCTTGATGGTAGGGCTAGATCCTGAGTTCATTCTGACATGATAAAATTTTGGATGCCAGTTTCCTATTTTGTGCATGCACCTTTTTAGATTATGTGTTTGAATAATTATTTCCCAGTAATGTCTATCGAATCAAGATTCAGCGCACAGTAGATCTCATTAGTAGAGATCATGCATTTAAAATACATAAAAGTAGTCGTAGAACTCTACCTTTCTTTCTTGTACTGTTAACGGTCGTGATAAATAATTCCAGAAACATGGAAATCCCTATGAGATTCTTAGTTGAGAGAATCAGAGTCAGAGACATGAGAGAGACAGAAGAAAATAGGGAAAGTTAAAAGAAAAAATGTTGGATCGTACTAACATGGAAGAGAACTGTGAATAGTTTGATAAATAATTTTTTCTTCCTTATGTTATGTTATGATATGATAGTATGTTTGACTATCACTTTATACAAGGTCCTGTGTCAAGTGATTTCTCACCTGAAGATTTCAGTCTGTTGGACAATTAGTGATCTGAGTTAGTGACTGCAGTTCTGTAAGAAAGACGGATATGAGATTTCTCTTACTCTCAGGACTGCATATCGTTCTTTCCTTCCTTTCTTCCTTCCTGCTTTCCCATGGCCCTGCTTTTTATCTCACTGGCCAGCATACTCAAGAGTTTCAATCAAAAATTAGATCACATCAGGGTTTTTTTTTTTTTATCCAACCAAATTTCCAGCACCTACCATGTCCAAGGACTTGTTTGAATTCGTCCATAAACCTACAACTTTACCTTTTATCTGGTATACTTGTGTTTCTGCAAACACTTTTTTGGTATTCAGAGTACCCTCTGGGCTGTAACATAACCATTGTTTGGGTATAGTTTCCATGAAGGGACCAACCAGATTTGTTTTTTAATAGGAAATGGGAATAATGTGGGTTGAGGTAACAAAGCTTTTCCAGTTGGAATCACAGACAAGAGGCTATGTTTATCCCCTCCCTTAAATCTTATACCCTTCTTCCTGTGAGGACCGGGAGGAAGCTGTGAGGAACTGTCGGATGTAGTATTTGGCTCCTAGACTTCTTGGCCAATGTAAATGGCCATTGTCATATGGCAACTCTGCAAGTTGTAATTTTCCTGACAACCCAAGACATAAATGCTCTGGGGGATAAAAACAAGTCATTGAAAAAGGTGATGAACCACAGAAGGTAACTTCTTAATGTTCTGAAACACAAATATTTTTTTCTTTGCTCACAGAGCATGAAAATGAACAAGTAAGCTGTAGCATGTTTTCCTTAAGCAATTTTAAAAGTTTACATTTTCCTCCATCTTCTCTTTTCTTTAAAAGTGACAGCACATATTCTTTCAAAAAACACTTATTTTGCACAATTAGTCATTCAGCTTTAGTTTAGTTCATTTAAATATTTCAACTGTGTAATTGTGTGTCTTTAAACATGATTGTGAGTTATAAGTGAGTTATTGTGAGTTTATCTAATATTAGATAAATAGATAATAGCTCCAAATTCCCTTCTCAGAAATGATTTATATACAATCAGATTTTGGCTGCTCATTACTTTAAATGACCAGTTCCTTCATAAGTTATTTCAATTTTATTATGAGCTTATAAATGCATATGACTTTTTCTGTTGCCATCTCATTAAACAGTTAATTTTATATATATTTGGAGATACGCATTTTAGTGCTATCTTTCCACTTTCCTTCTTGGCTGCTTTTATAAGATTTTAAACTGCTGGAAGTTAACCTTTCCAAAACTTATCCTTCCTGGCAACATGTCCATATGTTTTCAGCAATTCCAGACCACCAAGACTTTGTTGAGTTTTCTTGATTTACAAACTCTTTATTCACTTGCATAAGCTATTCCTAGAGTCAAATTTTCCCATGACACATTCACCCATAATTATATTTATGTGAACAATTTAATGTCCTCTACTATATTTCTCTGTAATAAGCTGGCTTTCATATTTTTAACATTAGTGCATTTCAGACAGATAATATTTTCACTTTTTACTCTCTAAAAGAATAAAAAAGCATGAGATTTGTGTGTAAATGGATAACAGATTTGTGTATAAATGGGTACCAGTAAACAGCATTACTAAAGTTATTTTTATGTTAAATTATGAATTTAATTATGATTTGCAAATTAGTTGCCTTATATAGAAACAGATTTTTTTAAAGATGTAGTGACATATTACCTAGGGATCCCTCAACTTTGTGATTCATTTTTCTGGTCTAGGAGATCCTGGAGTAACTGAACCAGGTGGGTAGCTTATCTGGCAACAAGTTGCATTGACTCAGACCCCACAGCCAATGTGCCATGGGTTCCCCATGCCTCTGAGTGTTTTGAGGGGTTCCTTGGATAATGAGAAAGAGGAGTCCCTTCTGACTCTGAGCCTCTGCCTCTACTGATTTCCATCACCTTGTATAGTTCTCTCTGTGTGCCTTAGTGCATCAGTCATACCTGGAATTATCATTTCTTCATTTCACACACATGTACACACATGCAAACCCCACTTCCTCAAGGTCTACCCTTGATAAAAGTTAAAGAAAGTTAATATATAGAAGGACAAACTTATAACACAAACTTCTAAAATAAAATCTAAAAATTTAAACTGAATGTTCAATAAATTCCTTCTCCAAGAGCTTTCCATTTTTGAGTATCTCTGTGATAGAGATACTCAAAATTCTCCAATCAGGATTTAGTGGATTATGCTACCTCAATATTCATCTTTGCTTCTATCCCTTAATTAAAGAGGAAAAGAATTATTTTCCTACCAGGTACATGCTTTGCAAGTCTGCCTCAGCACATTGGAATTAAAGCTTCCTATCAATACACTGAAATATGTGTACTTCTTTCAACTCCATAACAACTCCAGCATGTTTAATGATGTCCCATCAGGTCTAAAAGTTTAAAAAAACTGGATTCCAAAACTCCTAGTGCCTTATCCTTTTTTTTAAAAAAATCCCACCCATCTTATACATATCAAGCTTTGAAATGACCATTTCTGAACACCACCTTTACAACAAGATAATCATAGTACCAGCTTCTGTCTCTTCCCTAGCTGAGCACCACCTACCTGGCAAGTAATCTAAGTGTCCCAGTGGCCTTCATTTGTACTCATGTCCACAGGCCTGTAAATATTAGAAATTAGCCTGATAAGTTGTTATACAAAGCCCCTACCTCTCTCTAGTTTCTGTTGGGCAATTGGTGATTTAGCTCTTTAAGTTATACGCAGGTCCAAGAAGCTTGCTTTCTTATGATATTGATAAAAAATGTGCACCTCCTCTGACAATGATGTTGCTTTTTTCTTTCATGTGTTGATCCACAAGAGTACAATCAATGGCAATTTTAATGTTGAAGTACATTGTTGATTTTAGCCATTGAGAATGAGCTGCTCCAGTGTTAGCAGTGAACTTTATAGTGACACAAAGCATTATTCTCATGGAAGAAGAATTCTTACAGTTGCTTCCCATGTTTCATTAGGACCTTCCAAGAAGTGCTTCCCAGATAGATGCGAGAAACACAAAAGTCCTCACTTTCATCACCTATATCGGCTGTGGAATATCTGCTATTTTCTCAGCAGCAACTCTCCTCACATATGTTGCATTTGAGTGAGTATTTTTCTGTCTGCTAAGCCCAGTGCTAACTCTGCCAATTGTGAATGAGAAAATTGCCTTGACTTTTAAAAAGGAGATGCTTCGTGAATTATGTAAGGTGGTCTAGTTTTAAGGTTTCTTACAGAATATATTATTCCCATGAACTTTCTAGTTACAGAATTTTAACTTACAATTATATTTCTAGTTTTAAAATGCGTTAAAGTAAATGAAATTACATAAAATACTTTCTACATTGTAAAACATGAAACTATTGTTTCACAATCCTATGAAATCAGTCCTAAAACAGGAAAGTATTTAAAAGAGAATATTTAACTCACTAACAAATAAACATTAAAAATTTTTAGGAAAATTGTATTTTTAATAAAAATGTCATTCTTATAACTCTTGAATTTTTCCTGGATTAAAAGAAATGTGTAGAGACCAGTCGGGAATTTTATAAATAAGTGGAAACAATTTTAAAATAAAATTAATATTTATAAAGTCTTTGGAACCTGGCAAATACTCACAAATAGCTTTAGCCCTCAACCTAATGGAACCTTGTCGTACAGGTGGAACTACCTACCCTATTACAGAGTTGGAGAAGACATCCATTTACTCATGTGCTTTAAAAAATTATGTGCTGTAATGTATATTTCTTTACTCCTTTTTTAGGAAATTGCGAAGGGATTATCCCTCCAAAATCTTGATGAACCTGAGTTCAGCCCTGCTCCTCCTGAATCTTGTCTTCCTCCTGGATGGCTGGGTTACCTCCTTTGACATGGACGGACTGTGCATGGCTGTCGCCGCTCTGCTGCACTTCTTCCTCTTGGCAACCTTCACCTGGATGGGACTGGAAGCAATCCACATGTACATTGCTCTAGTGAAAGTATTTAATACTTACATCCACCGGTATATCCTCAAATTTTGCATCATTGGCTGGGGTAAGCCTCCTAAAATTTTTTGGTTTTGTTCTTTCTGTCATGAAAATTGCCCAGTTCTCAGAGGGACATCCTTACTTCTAAAGCCCAGTAATGTTAAGACACAGTTTAACATTGTGAATTTGTGGATTAGATATATACATATCTGAAGGAAAGGACATCCTCAGCTCTGTATTTTCAAAAGTCTCTTTAGCAGTAATCACTAAATTCGGGAATAAAGGGAAAGCCTTAGCTCCTGAGTCACCAAAAACTCATTTCCTGAGCCAACAGCCAGCCCACCCAAGTCTGAAGAAGCAGCTGGCAGACCATTATGCTTCCAAATATAGAGGCAGCTGAGACTCCTAGTTCTGCTCATCCCAAGACATGTGCCCATGCTATGGAAGCCAGAGAAAGAATGCAATTTTGTGAGTGCAACCAAGATATTTTAAAAAAAAAAAACTTTTGTTTTTTTTTAACCATGCATCCTCAGTCATACATGGAATGGTCATGAGAGCCTGTTTGGAATCTTCTTGTTCAGCTACTTTCTTTATCTGGGTTTTATGTCTGGCCAGGCATGGCTTCCTCAAAACTCTTTTTCAGATAGTAGTATAGAAGCCTGAGATATTTCCAAGATGTTCAATACCCCTTAACTGGCAGTAAAAGTTTTTTTCAGGGGTTCAAGGTGGCATATATTTCCCCACTGAAATATACCTGGAAATACTTTATTGATTCTCTGGAGACAGAAGACCATAAAGACTATACACCATTGTTTCCACCCACTTTTTCCAAAGACTTTGCTTTATATAAAAAGGGGTAAAATATGCTGCAATGACCTTATCTGTCAGAATTCTGGCAGTATAAAGAGGCATTGTTAATGAAACCACATTCACTGATGTCTGATTCAATAAAATCAGGTTCTAGGCTCTCTAGTGGATATCACCAAGCAGACAGGAAGGTCAAGTGTCTGATGTTGAAGCGGAAGTTTTGACGGTTGCTAATTGGAGTTTGATGTTCCACCTCCAGGAAGAGATTTTGTTGTTGGTTTTGATCTAGTAGCCATTCCAGGAGTAGGAAAGTATGATATGGCAGATTTTCCTTCTTTTCTCTCTCCTTGCCATTTCAGTCTTATAAAGCAGTTTCAGATGCTTCAGGAGAACTGTCTATGCCTGTGGTCTTTTTATAACAGGTTTGCCTGCCTTGTTGGTGTCAGTTGTTCTAGTAAGCAGAAAACAAAATGAAGTTTATGGAAAAGAAAGTTACGGAAAAGAACAAGGTGACGAATTGTAAGTAATACAAATTTGGGAGGATCCATTTGTGATGCATGTATGTCCTTTGCTTCCTAAAGTTTAGTGTGAGATTCCATGTTATTTGAAAGGTTATAGTGCACTGCACGACATTGCCAAGGTCTCTGCTACCACACATTATTTCAATGCCCTGAAAAATTAAGCTGCTTTTCAATATTAACATTACACTCCATAATCTGGGGAAATTTAAAAGAAGCCTAAGATACTACCTTGTAGCCTCAGAAGACCCATTCTGTGTGAGGAGATTCCGTAATACTGCTCCCTCTTCCAGGGAGTTAGATAGTAATATCTGACACTGAATGACTCAGCGCCAATAGGAATGTTACATGGACATGTAGAGAATGGAGAGGAGAGATCACCAAGTTTGTGAATATTTTGGAAAATTCCCTTCCGATTATAAAATAATTGATACTAAAATTTTTATATTGTTCATTTTAAGCAGTTTTCTCATATTTTGTCAACTACATTGTGGGTCCTTGATATCTGTTCGCTGGAAGAACTACTGAAGTTATAGAGTTTATTCCTGAAATGAGACTTGCAGTGTGCTACATGTCTGTGTACATTTCACAGATGGATAACACTTCTGTATTCATTCAGTTGTCTAACACATGTCCTCTTTCTTCATGATCTTCCCATCTCTTACATTTTAGCATTTGAAAGATCCAACAAGAACTAGGGGGAAATACTTGATCTAGGTGAGAAATTCAAGGATCTTTGAGGAATTTCCATGTGTAAACAAGAGGTAGCTCCAGGGACAAGCAGTATTATTTTGAGGACTTTTATAAGATATACTGAAAGTAGAACGCTGTCAATAAATTTTGAATAAGAGAATGTAAAACGTATGTTAGTCAATTGTTACAAAACTTAAAGTTCTATTTAGTAAATTGTAGTGCTACCAAAAACTCTCATTTATTGAGCATTTGCTCTATTCCAAGAATCATTTTAGGTTCTAGAATCTAAAGATATTCAAGCAACCTTGCTTTTGTTTCTGCAGAGGATATGTTCCATTGTGGAATACTCCAGGATGATGACCATTTATACTAGAATCTTAGGGTGAATTTAATCATTTATCCAATGTTTGAGATTCCCGAAAATTTCCTTTGTATAGAAAAGGCACTAGGGTACTTGCAACTTGCAGTACTTGTCAATTTTACCCATAATATACTTTGCACATAATACACTTTTAAAATTTCTTTCATGAATCTCAGAATTCTTTAATGAGGTCCTGTCTCAACTTGAACAAATATATTAATAGAAATTACTTTGTTTTCTGTAATGAACTCACAGTTCAGTGTGACTCAAGTTAGCAGGAATTAACTTCACACAAGAAACATGGACATAGGCAACCACTGGTACTGACTTTGTGGCTAAACTGTCAGGGCCAACATCTCTGCCACTCTATTGACCTCTCTCTCATGGAAAGAAAACATAGCTAATTTCATGTTTGAAGCAGGAAGAAGAAATAGTGCCCTGCCAGTTGAGTCTGTCAAGAACAGCTTTTCCAAAAATCACTTAGCAGACATCTGCTTCCATGCTGCTTCATAAACTATGTTACATGGCTACCCTTTAACTATAAACAGGAGCAAAAATGAGAACTTAGATTTCCTATTCTTAGAGTACAGGCCCACAAGAAAAAAGGAGATTGGACATGGCTTGGGGTAAGCCAACCAACAGTGTTCTCATACCAAGTCACAATTCAACAAATCACATTATTTTCTTTTTAATGGTGACTTAAATAACTAGCTATTAAGACATGTCCATCCAGAAACAAGCCAACAGAAACCACAAATGAAAAGATCAAAGAAGAAACTGGAGTCCAAAAAAGTAGACTTTCCAAAGGTGTTTGAGAGAAATTTGCAGTAGTCCAAACTAAGTCACGGAAAGTCAAAAGTAAACAGACCATGGTCATAACTCTTTTTCCTTTTTGTTCTTTTTTAAGCTGTTGGATCCAGGATCCAGTAGTATTTTATGTTACCTGTGCTGGGTATTTCGGAGTCATGTTTTTCCTGAATGTTGCCATGTTCATTGTGGTAATGGTGCAGATCTGCGGAAGGAATGGCAAGAGAAGCAACCGGACCCTGAGAGAAGAGGTTTTAAGGAACCTGCGCAGTGTGGTTAGCCTGACTTTCCTGCTGGGCATGACATGGGGTTTTGCTTTCTTTGCCTGGGGACCCTTAAATATCCCTTTCATGTACCTCTTCTCCATCTTCAATTCATTACAAGGTAAGATAAATGGTACTTGAACAATTTCTGCATTCTAAACTTACATATTTGCAAACAACTTCCTTTTGGACAGATGCTAGATCAGGTATCTATAGCACTGTCCCCAATGTTTAGCAGAGTTATAGGCACAGAGTGGGTGTTCATTAAATAAGTCTTGAATGGATAAAAGAGGCGAAATGTCAGTTTGCGCTTTTTTAAAAGTAATATAAGTGTAAGGACCTAGAACCATGCCTAGTAGACAGTAGGTACTCAATAAATGTTGTATCTAGGTGAGAATCAAATTGGAAGTTTATGGGGATGCACAGACAAGTTCTGTCTCCTTTACAGTCAGCTGAGTGTCCTGTTCTTCTTAGAACCTTGGTCTATGTAGGTTTTCCTTGCATGGCCAGAAGAATGTTTAGATTCTGTGCATGGACAGATGCAGTTCACCTTGATTCCTTGGCTTCCTACATTTCAAATAAGTATAAACTGTCTAATTCAGAAACTCTTTTATTTTCATGAAACATGGCAATTAGCTCAATTTAGCAAACGTTTTCCGATGACCTGCTTTGGGCAAAAATACAAGACTTCCTTCAAGGAGCCTACGGTCCCACTTCCAATTCCATTACACATACCCCAGTGTTCTCTGTAATGAATATAACTTTCCAGCCTCAGTGAATATCAATTATTTTAAAAAATTGAATGACATTGTTTTATGTGTATATGTGGTGCTGGGTATTAAACCTAGTTCCTTGCACATGTCAAGCAGGTACTCAATCACTTAGCCACTCCCCAAGCCCTTAAATAACATTCTTTAAATATCAGATATACCCTGTTTTCCTGGCAAAATTCCCTAATGTTCAGAAGTACCATGAAGCCTACACCTCAAAAGAAATTAGAAAACAAAGTCTGGACTATTTTGAAGCAGGACAGTACAATGGTACTTAGCTAAAGTTCTCATCATGCAGTTGTGGGAGTGTAGAAAAGGAATATCCAACGAAAGCTGGGGTGGAGAACTTTACATCTCATGCTGATCAGACCCAAACCAGAGTTAAATGGAAAACAGGTTTGTGCTACTCACAAATGAGATACCTAGTTGGATGCTCTCTAGACATGTGTTCTAGGGGAAGTCTGAGCTTATCTGTATGAGACAATTCTTCACTGTTTATCCCATAAGCCCTCTGCTAGCTTGTAAACCGAAAGAAAAAAATGTCACAAAGTAGATGTTCAATGATTGTTTGCTTAATGAATGGATTTCTGGTTGAAGGAAGGGAGAGGTCTTGGGCATGGCCTAAATCCAATCTGAGACTCCTCTGGCATAAATAATTAGTTCAGCAAATTTTATTCAAGTTCACTCTCCCATATCAGACAAAATACACAAGCTTGTTGTCAGTCACAGGTACAATAAAAAGCCTCAAGTGCATCTCCAAAAGTTGGAAACTGAGTATGTAACATATGAGTATATCTCTGTCAGGATCTAGCTCTGTAAAGTGAGTTTTCCTCTATTTAATCTCTTCTATAATATACTACATAAAAGCGCCTAAGTAAATACTGACAGACGCGTCTGTAAGCATTAGAAATTCCATGGTTTCATGTTTCAGGATTATACATGAAAGGCACAGTCATCTGCCAGCCCAACCTTGGTTTTGCTGTTAGAATTTCCTGGCAGTGTCAGTAGCCTTCAGCAGCTATGGTTGTCTGTGCAACTCTGTTTCCATTAATAAGAATTGGGATGCTTTATTTTTCCCAGTATGGGTCTCCTGTCAGAAGGGGAAAATGTTGTAAACCATCATCAAGTCAGTGTTCTTCATAAATCACCTACTTCTAAGACTGATTGTCAACTGTATAAATTCAGAACAGATTTCTGCACATCCAGTGATACTAAAAACACCTTCTAAAGAAGAAATTTTAATTAAAAAGCAGTGATACAGAGCACACAAGTCTTATCAGCAATTGTTAACCAGCCAGGCTGTTCAAAAACTTCTGGATGCTATGGAAAGTTACTTAATGGTTTTCATTGTTGAGTAATTTTCTTAACCTTTCACAAGAAGCTTTGTTAGCAGTTAATGCTTTATTAAGTTTGTAGGATTTAGGCAGTTTGTAAAAACAACCAAGTGACTACAAGATTAACTGAAGAATAACTTGGGAAAACTACTATGTGTGTGTGTGTGTGTGTGTGTGTGTGTGTGTGTGTATCTGAGCATTCACATAACTTTGTATAGTCTGCATTTGAAAATTATATGTATGCTTTATTTTTTATGTTTTATTTGTTTTGTATTCATGTTTGTTTTTAGCAAGTACTTTATTTTGTTTATTTTTAGTTTTTTTATATTCATTTATGTATACTTATATCATTATAAAACCCACTTTAAATGAATGTCAGGAAATCATTAGAATCTGTGTGACTAAACTTTTACCTACTTGAATAGGTAAATGAAGCCATTAATTGGATCAAAGCTGAGACCAAGTTTATTATTTTCTAATTTCCTATAGAATATTATTTTGTTCTTTTAATTTTACCTACTTCACTTAATTAAGTTACAATCATTTCATTTATATTTTTTTCTAAGCTGGAGATTAATAAGCCTTCATGTAACATGGTGGAATTCATATCTACTAGCTTTTGTTGATTTTCCTTCTTTCCTAAGATGAAACTGGTATATCATTGCATTAAAATTTAAAATTTTTTTCTAAAGAATACAACTTCAGAAAATTGCAGTGCAAAAAAGGACAGTGTTTGACATCATAATTGATGCCTAAGAACATAACATTATACTGTAGTACTTTGTCCTAAACAAATTAAAGTCAATTCCCTGATTGCTAGGATCTTGTCCAGGGTCCTGTTGGATATTTATTTCGTGGTAATGTCATCAGTGCTCTTGCAAGATTGAATTATTGCCCTGAGGTACAGAATGGGCATATGGCTGCTTGTTACTCAAGTGATAAACTGCATTGCAGACTCTGTATTTTGTGCATTGTTGGTACCTGATCATTTGACACTGTCAATTAAGTTAGAATTCCCCAATGTATAGGAAAACTTAACTCTCCTGACAGTTTCATCATGGTATAAATTCTTGTGCCATATCTAGGGCTTGATATTCAATTTTCCTTTTCCAGGAATGAGAAACAAATATTGATTAATAGCTCAAGTGCAACTAGGGTATCTCATGTACTGATATATGAAAGCATAATAAGTTGCAGTTCTACAACTAGGAACTACAATGAAGAACAGAGATGGATGTTATCAGTTTACTCAGATATAATGATTGCCATTAATTACTTTGATAATATTAAGATTCTCAGAGCAACAGAAATCATGTGTAGTTACAAAGCACATTTGCATAACATCTGTGATTTTACTGTCACCCTTGCAAGTCTGAAAAGTAGGTAACATAGAAAAAGCTTATTTTCTCCACTTTATAAACTGAGGCTTAGTAAAGTCAGTGACTTTCCCAAGATCAGTTTGAGTCTAGCAATGAAATATTTATAGTATAAATGAAGATAAAACTCTACATTATTAAGGGACAAAGTATAAGGAGGAAACTAAAACAAATTATGTAACTGTCCCTTCAGTTTATTTCAAATGTTTTAGGAAGCGAATATTTACTTCTATTAAAAATTGTTAGTAAGTATGTATTTAATGAATATATGAGAATTTAAAATCTTGTTCAGCAAAAATCATAGGGAAATATCATTACTATTATAATCATATTGGTAAACTAAGAAATTTATGTTAAATGATGAAGTAAAATATACTCAGTGTCAGATAAGTCTCTGTTGCCCTGGAGGTTGAAGTTAGGAACCTTGTGAAAGTTAAGCTATTACATAATCATGTGTACAATGCACATATTGAGTTGTTGCCAAGGTAAAGTTTTTTTAATCCGTGAACACCTGAAATGACATCATGTTGTTTGAAACATTGCACACTACAAGGAAATAAATTACTCATTTTTGGCAGGGCATTTTGTGCCATAGAGAAATAATTTACCAAAGGAATCCCTCCTAGTATGAAAAGTGGCTCAAGAAGTTTCCAAAAGACATTCATAAACCCTTAAATATCCCCAGCCCCGCAACCAGTAGGTTTTATTTGAGTGACTACAGAACCTAGGGCTGTTCAGAAATTAGGATGTTGGCTTGCAGGATAGCTCAGAGGCCATCTAGACCATTTTTATATACTCAGTCAAAATAAATCAACCCATTTTTGTCATTTAAATCAGTTACTTACAGTGCATGGCTTTTTTAAACCATTATTAATTCTTGACCAAATTTCCCATCAATTGATGTGCTCACTGTACAGGAATGAATGTAAAAATCTTTTTTTTGCGGGGGCGGGATGCTGGGATTTGAACTCAGGGCCTACACCTTGGGCCACTCCATCAACCCTTTACTGTGATTGGTTTTTTTTGAGATAGGGTCTTGCGAACTATTGCCCAAGCTGTCTTTGAACTGTGATCCTCCTGATCTCTGTCCCTGAGTAGCTGAGATTATAGGGACAAGCACTGGCACCCACCTGAATATAGAAATCTTAAACTGGCTAAGACCACCGTGGGAAGTGGACTAGGGAGGAGTGAAGAGGAAAGGAAGAGATGAACCAGTTGAGGTTGTAATACATATGTGTATGGAAACAACACAAGGAAACTCCCTATGTAGCTATCTTTATCTTAAACTAGCAAAAGTGTCACATTTCTCTTTTTATCTTTATGGTTTTTTCTTCTACAAAATCGGAGAACAGGAGTGCTTTCTGCCCAGTGTTGGGGGTTTGGTGCCAGTGGGGGGGTGGGGAAAGGGGGTAGGAGGATGAATATGGTACAATGTAATGTATACACCTATCTGTAAATGCAAACACGATGCCTGTTGAAACTGTTCCAGGAATTGGGGGGGGCAGTGGAGGGGGGAATTCAAGTACGATATATTTGATACATTGTAAGAACCTTTATAAATGCTACAATGTACCCCCACCCAGCACAACAGTAAAAAGATAAAATTATATATATATACATAAATGTGCATATATAGATATA